AGGGTACGCACCATTGACCTTTTTTACAAATTAGCGGCTGGAAGACAGTACCAAGGGAAAGCAGAGAAACGAACTGGCGAGCCTGATGAGCTAACGCTGCCGTCAGAGTTTCCAGCGCTCTGTCCAGGCTTGACGAAATTCAATGCGGCGTTACAATTGAAGTAGCCATCATTGATGAAGAAAGGCGCAATGGTTCCTGACAGACATTCTGGTGTTAGGTTTCTTCTTGGTGGCAATGCGAAAGAGAGAGGACGATTGGTACCTTTAATAAACCCCGTGGCCAGCTCAAAGTTGTCGTATAATTCGGGAGCAAGCTGGTCGGGTGCAACATCGAGGAGGTTCTCCAAGATGAAACAGCCCAACTCCTGTGGCGTCTGGTTCGTCACGTTAAAAAAGCCGAGGGGGACGAAATTCCCCAGGCCCTCGTTGCCTCCGATCTCGCGCGGATTCATCAGGAACATCTCGATGGCTTGCGTCATAGCGCCGACAAGGGTGAATGGTACCCCGCGTCGGTACCAGTTCTCGGGGAAGGTCTCGTTGAGGAAGAAGGGAGCAACGCTGTTGTAGTCTGGGATACCGGTGGTGCCGTTGGCTAGACCTTCGTAGACGAAAACACGCTCCGCATGGGAGACCAAAAACCAGATAACACCGGCGAGGAAGTCTGGGTTTGTCTCTCTGGAGATGTCATAACGATAGCCATTGTCGATAGCATTCAACGCCTGATTGAAAAGTCCGCCGGTCTGGGAGGTCTCGTTGACGTATTCTTGCCATCGTTGAAGAAGGAAGTTGGCATTGTTACCAAAGTATACGTCTTGGCGTGTGATGCTTCCATCGATCTCAAAGACGCCATGTTTGTCGAGACCACCGGCAGGACCGATGGTGTTTGGGACGCGAGCATCAGCCCCTCCAATGGTGTATTTTCCCGAGACAAGGTCGCCGCCAGCCATGAGTCCAAGAGCTGAGAGGAAAACGCTGAGACTATAGTCGAAGCCATAACCTATTTGGACAGCATTGGCGGCTTCGGCAAAGCTTGTGATACCATCGCGGGAGATGTAACCATGGTTCGCAAGGGCATTCAAAGTTGGGCATATGCCACGTACATCGGTCGGGCCTGGGGCTTGGAATTGGTGCGCAGGGTCGTTGCCTGGGATCTGTTCGAGGGTGATGATTTGGGGGGTAGGTACATCGACGGCTTGTAGTTCGCCCGTGAGTTCCTGAAGCGCTCCATTGACTATTACATTACGTTAGTGACTTACGATAGAACATCTCAAGTGGGCGAGACTTACGAAGACCTCCTCCGTAGGGTAAGTCGAGAACACCGCTCACGATTGGTCCAATAATGCCAGCTGGGCTTGGATCTGGAGCAGCTTCGCGTTTGTGCGCTTGGAAAAGCACTTCTGCAGCTTTGGGGTCCCGCTTGACAGCTTCGAACTTGGCAAGATCTGCTTCGGTGAGCCCTCCAGAGCGTTTCAACATCTCAAATGGACAAGCCGCGAAAACTCGGGCCACGAGGCCTGCACCTAAGGCGAAATACGCTGTCTTCATGTTGGATGTGAGATCTGCTGTGGATTTTCCGCTGTTTAAAGAATTTAGAAGGTTGCATGGGGTCCCTACAGATGGTTAGCCGTCTGTTTATATAATGGGACTCGTCACTTCTGACAAGTTTCGGGTGTGGGCTATCAGGAAGCACGCCATTGAAATCCATTTCCGATGCTGGCATCCATGAAATTTCAAATTTTGGTCCCATTTGGGAAACAAGAAGCAAGGTTTGAACTTCTGAGGGTAGTGGCTTGTCCTCGGCATCCTTGGTGGCACCTGACCCGATGGACAATTTCCATCACCGTGTCTGAAAACAGCACTTGATTGGTGGAAAGCGGTGAACCGGCAAAGTCGGAACATTGGAGATGGGATAAAGATGGGTCCCATCTGAGTACTGTGTCAGCCTCAGCCGGTGCTGGCCCCACGGATGTGGATTAACGGAGAATATGATTGGTAGAAAGGGGGTTGTTGAGGATAAAAACAGCAGTCCATAAGCTCTTTGGGGCAATGCGGAGAACCTGGAGTGCACTGCTGCATGCGATTAACCCGGCTAAGACGGAGTAAAGCTTTAGGCCCAACATGAGATTAGCATACAGGGAATAACAGCATTGCAATATAGACATGAGATTAGCATACGGGGAATAACAGCATTGGCGTGAGAGAAGAGGAGAAGTTGCAAGAGGGATGCATATCTTTCTCATTGATCGCCGATCGATACGTGAAGTAAGGCAGGCATTGATTGATTTAAGCTGGCTTGTATGAAACTTGTAAAAGTACCGGAAAACAGTCGGCTCGGATGCGAGGTTTCTATCGTTGTGTGATTGACTGCCCTTCCCACAGAATGAAGCGCCATGCATTTCCCTTTTAGCGATCTGAATCAGCACAATCATTCTGTGTCCGTCTATGACCGCTTGAGGCGGTATCGTGCTCTCTAGAACACGGGAAAAGATAAATGATACCCAAACCTCAGAAGGATATGGATAGCTGCGCTTGGAGGTTTGACTTCCTGTATCATTCCCATGAATATCTAACTCTCGGCTAACTGTTTTTGAGTCTCCTATCTTACTAGCTAGCTTCACTAGTCGATGTACCTTACCTTAGCCTAGCCTCGGCATAAGGCGCTCATAGGGGTGAACTGTCGGCTATAACGCAGGCCGACAACAGCGATATGCACTCTTCAACTATCAGTATATTGGGAAAACAAGCGCTCCGTAACTGAATGGTGGTCCCCGAAAGGATGATTGAGAATTCGAAAGTGATATGACGAAGAAGCACGTAATCCTCCTATTCTAGTTAATCATCCTGGATTGCAACCGTTTTGGAAAGTGCGATGAACGAAAAAGGCGGCAAGTTAGGAGGATCTGCAGAAGCACTGCTATACTGGAATATGCTGCCAACTTAAATGGACAGCGATGCGCGTTCTGGAGCATGTTATCATACCCTAGTCAAATTGCGTGCTTTGCTTTCGCCAATCAGCCGTTCGGTATCATTAATTAAAAGGTGTTGCGGGGAAAGGCTGACCTGTTATGAGGGAAAAGAATAACTCCCGCATGAGTAAAATTGCGGCTTATGTTTTTGATATTTCTTTTAGCATTTCTCTACAGCATACTTCCGTTGAGCCGCTGTCAGAAGAACGCATGACCCAAATGTGTAAAGACGGCCTCATCTCGGGCTGACTTCGGCACTTACTCGTACTAGTACGTCAGTGTCTTGGCATTATCCTCTTATTGTTTGACGGAAGAACGTAATCTCTCCTATAGCTAACTTCTTCCCGGCCTACTTCTCTTAACAAGGTAGACAGAATTAACGAGTCTAACCTACACCCAGTCTGATAGATCTATAGTTTCTATCTTCCTTCTTAATTCGTAGCTCGTATGATTTAAGTAAATTAGACTACTACGAACGTAGTCTTACTAAAATCTCGCACGAGGACTACTTCTACGCTTTGTGTAAGGAATTGCGGTCAATTACTATCTTCATGAGCAAGAATTCCCCCTTCAACAGTCCCAACTCTTGGGTCAATGACTTCACCAATACGATGATCCGCAGTGAAGTATCTCCGTTGGACTTGTTTTCCAAGTACGCCAACGATGAACTTTTTGTAGAGGGGTTTCAAACCTGGTAAGAGCTTGCGGCAGCAGAACGACACAGTCTCGAAAATGCATGTCATGGGACATATTTCTCAGATCTGTGTTCTGGTCTGCATCGACTGCCAAACCTGCAGTCCATCGAAATGGATGATGACATATGGGGTAACACTCGCAGAAACATGAGTGGCACATCCCGCCCATGTATTCCCATCATACTCCAAGCGCCATTCTCTCAGGGTTCCCTCTCGCGCGGGGCTGGATTTCTTGGCATCTGCGCCCAAAGAGATCAGAAGACGCGCGTTTTGAGCATCTCTCTCTTGTGGTCCTTGCACTCTCAAGGACCCAAAGAAGCATCAAGCACTTTGAATGCCAGTCTCGCCATTGTCAGATCCGCCCAGGTCTCTCACCATTGCAATTCGCAGGATGTGATATGACAGAGAGATTTCCCCGCCACATGGCCACTACCCTATGGCAGCTCGGAAGCCTAAAGCTACAGATCACGCCTCGCAGTGACATTTTAGGTCACGAAAACGCCGAAGCGCTTGATTTTCTACCACAATTTTTAGAAAAGATGATTGGCCTGAAGAGTCTTGACCTTGTACTCATCACCGCTGAACGTGTGGAGAAACAGCGCCGTCTATCGCTGGCACTGCTCGAAGACACCTGCTATACATACTCGCAAGTGTTTCCTCGTCGAAGCAAATGACCGAATTCACAACGTCTATATCTCGCCGGCCTGGCAATACATGGTCTTGACATGACCTTTCTACTATTCAACCAGATGTCAGGATCGCAGCGCCTCTGGCTGAACCACATTAACCTCTTGGGTGGCAGATGGGAAGGTGTTGTTGAGGCTATGCGGATTCGCGGAGCTTTCATACCCTGGGACCTACTGAGTCTTCAAGGGTCATATCGACACCTGGGTGGCCAATGGTGGCCATGTTCACCGGACACGGAGGAGGAACAACTAGCACTTGAAGCCTATATGAATTACGCCACAGAAGGTGGGCGTCATCCGAGCCTGCCAGCTGGTTTGCAGGATTCGCTGTCAATCAATTACTTTGACGAGTTGTACTATGTGGCAGGGCTAAAGCGTATTCGAGCGTTACGGCTCCGCATACAACAGCTGGATGACCGACGGACTTAGCTCGTACTTTATATCAAGGGCAGCTAAATCATGGTCAATACTTAACAGTGGCGACCGAGCTTACAAGTAGTGAATTTCAGCTGCCGAGGCGGGACGTTTCATGTCTGGCGTCAACTTCCTTAAGCCCGCGAGATACCGGAAGATGGATAAGATTGTCTTGTCTGTATGGACCTATTCTACCGGGGCAAGATTCCTGAAATCTTAGTCTCACTTTTTATGTGCCGCTACACTATGGGCTTAGTCTGTATAGCAAAGTGGTTATCTCCCTTGAAAGAGCAGACCTGGTGTCCAATGTGCCGCCGGGTAGAGATTCTCTCCCGGGAAGAGTAACAGCGTATGATTAACGTGGAACCAAATGAAATGAGGCGATAACAGGACATGACCGCGGCTCGAGAACTATCTGAGATCCTTTGAAGACCCGAGGTCGTAATAGCGCCCGTGGCACCACCAGGCGGGCCATCCACAACGGAAGTTCTGTCTGATTTCAGGTCGGCAAGATCTTCAGGGTCAGTCTTCCGTGGTACGGCTGATGTAGCGCGCAATAAGTTCCCCCTCCGAGCATTATCCGAGCTTGCCAGTCGCATGAAGTCTTCGAACCCTTCGTCCTGCGATGTTGCAGACATGAACTTGCGAGCTGTACTATATATGAGAGGTCCAAGCGTACAACATTCGGTGGACTCGAGCAAGGCGTCACCAATGAGAATAGAACTGGAGGATCTGGTGGATTGGTAGAGACGCTGGCTTTTTGGCGCCCTGGTGCTTGCTTCGTCATACCTCTTAGACTTGTCGAGAAGACTTTGCTCTTGGCGACGATGCAGTTGCTGCCCAGAGAATTTTTTGACATCTCTAGCTACAACATTAGCTGTCGGTAGAGCTCGAGAGTGGAAGTGTTCCAGTCTTAAGCCTGATTTGCGCGATTTTTCGTTACACTCGGGGATCTTCATCATGCATCCCCATGAGCGTTCCTAGAAGCAAGCAGCAGCTTCAATGCTTTGACGGTATCCATTCCAGACTTCTCCAAATCTGAATCCATTTTCCTCATACCGTCTTATCTCCATACTCTAATCAGTGTACAGTCCTTTCGATCTCTTGATTCCGCTGCAAAGCGGTCACGCCCTAATACTTTCGTCGGCTCTCCTCACTCATCGAGCATCACTATCTGTTACTCAGCATCCCACCACTTCATTTTCAACCAGACTCAACAAAAAATCCGCGCTCTGCTTCAGCTCTTGCGCAACAAGATCAGTTTCGAAGCGAGCTGACCCGAGATCACGCACGGGATTCAAGCTACCTTCTATGGATATAAGCTCCCGATCAAAATCAATGGAATGAGTGAGCTTGCGTGGGAGCCGCTGCACGATTTGCAAGTTCAAGATCCTCGTCACAATTCTCATTGAGAACTTCGACGCGTTGTTGCTGACTGTGATGAGACCCGTTTGATGTCTTCGAATAGCCGGTAGATGCAGTGTGCGAACTTCTACAATGCATGCGCCGAATATGATTGTGTGGAGGAACCAAGTGGTGAGGTGCATGAAGACGTGTCTCGGCGCGATAGCACAGATCGTTCTCCTGCAAGGATAAAACAACGATCGGATTGGATTGGCTTTCGCGTTCAGAGCGCGTGCGGACTGGGTTGCGCTTGCATTTCAGCGTCAATGTCGGTCGATGACGGAACGCAGAATTTGAGTACGTGCGCGCTCATATTCAAATTGCTTCTCAAGTCGAACCGAAGATCGAGGGCATTGAAAGATAGATCTATACTGGTCTGAACTTGCGAAAGTCTTTATACAATAACTCAACCTTTTCAGGTACTCTATTTTTACCATGCTGGTTTGTTTAACAGGCGAATTTAGCATTGCTTCATTCACTTTCTACCTGAATGAACAGCGCATCAAGCTACCGTCCTTTTAATCATTTTCTTCGCTCTCGAACCGACTCATCCGCCAAGAAGCCTGAGAAACCGGAAAGGGAAATGTTATAAAGAGAGGGAATGGGAAGGTCACGCATTTGAGCATGGCACAGCTCTTCCTATCCGGGCGTCTCGCTCGAACCTCTCGTGACCAAAGCTGCTCTGTAATGGTTCCCTTGTAGCAAGGTGAGAAATGGTCTTTCATCACCTTATGCGCTCGTTTGCTCCTGTGGAACAAGTAATTAATAGATGATCTTTCCATGATATGGGCCTAGGATCCTTCCGAAGGCTGTGCTTGCGGCGCAGCTGGGGCATGTTTCAGATGCGTATAAGTTCGCGTTCTATTTGACGGACGTCCAGCGGCCCGTCGCTCGAAAAATCAAGATTGCAACTGCAATCCTTCAAATCCTTCGTGTCTTGGCAATAATGTTAGGAAGCGAGATGTCTGTGCAATATTTCCCAATTCATTTCCGTTAATATATACCTCCACTCATTACCTGCTGTGTTCATCTTTTTCACTTCCTTGGCCTGCTTTTGGACAAGGCGGGCTGCATTGCAGTAGTAGCCTCAACGTCTCGCCCGAAAAGCTCCTGTGCGCGAAGTTTCTGGGTCGCTTGTCTGCCTGCAAAGCAATCGCGATGTCCAAGACGCCCATCATTCTACGGCTTCTTTGCCTTCTCGATATTACTCTGGGACTTTCCACAGAGCCTTCTCTAGCTACCAGGCTCAATCAGTCGGTAGTGGCATCTCCGAACCCGGCACGCTACATTTCTCAACCGTATCCTAGTCCCACCGAAGTCAAGAATCAATCCTATGGCCAGGTTCCCGGTGTGTACGTGCCGTTGCCCACTCAAGAGCGAGGTGCTTGCAGCATCACCGACGAATACTGCTCGTACAACGGCACGGACAGAAACCCAGACGGTTTGAGCGATCAATGCATATTGTGGGACAATACTTGCTCGGGAAACCAAACCTTAGCAATCGACCAATTTTTCAGTCAGACACAAGAATTGCTATACGAAAATGTCTGTTTCACGAGCGATGGAGACGACTCTGTGGAGTCTAATTGCACCCAACACAATACGCCTGCCAGATACTCGGAGTTCGCGAGAATAAAGAGTTGGATGAGATCACCGCAATGCATTAGTAGCCAGGGTGTGTACCAGAAAGCGCACCCAGCTCCGGATACGGAGGGCATGCAGGGTGAGAAACGTGCCGATAATAAGCGCGGTAATAGCACGCAAGGGCGCGTCCATGGAGGGGGTACTTGCTGCGGCACCTGCAACATCGAAGCTGGGAATGTCGACGTATACTATTGGCCGGCTTCCAATGCCAACATATCTTGTCTGAGCATCATCGGCAACAGCGTCAATCCCCCTGATTATCGTGCCACGACAGATTCACTCGGGCTCAAGTAAAGTCACCTCTGCATCCCTAGTCATCCCTCTACTTCATGCCTGAAGAAAAGCTGACTCCAAGATCTCTGCCAGGTACTGGGGATGCACAAAGCCTCTGACAGGTATTATAGATGAGTCAGTACAGACCATCACCACTGCCTCTGTCATGTTCACAGGATCGATGTCATGGAAAGCATACTTGGAGAATCCATGGGACTCGCCCTTGTGCCCCACAACGTCTGCAGCATCCCCGGGCTCAAATTCATCTGTTAATGCACGCGCCTTAGACGGGCAAATTTACGCACGTGGTCATTCCTTAGTCACTCCAGCGTCGGTCACCGGCAAGGATGACCTGCATATAACAACCGTGGTGTCTGGAAGCTTCACCTTGTAAGTGAACCCTGCGCCTACCAAGCGAGATATTCAGTAACAGGTTCTCAAGTACTTCTCCATCAGTCTATGCTGCTTTTAGCAACATAAGTGCATACGACTCTTGCGGTACGGAGGTCATCTCAACAACGATGCTCTCTTTTGCTCCTGGAGAGTTGTCGACCGTGGTTGGACCTCGCTACTTTGGCAATATTGCGGCGACGACTTTACCATTCAATTTTGCAGACCTCGTAAGCAAAGTCTTTTCTCTTGTGACTCAAAGTTGAAGAGGTAGCTTGGCAGCCTTCAATAAATAGACACATTTGGGTGTTCACAACGCACCTTTGAAGTGGCAACGCTGACAATAAAATTTTGAACAGCCCTGTCCGCCTTACAGCGTTGCTTCCGAAAACTACTACAAACCTGAGCCGGGGGAGCCATATAGACCTCTGATCGCTATACCCAGCCAGGTCAGGGACATGGTTCCGTGGTTCCAGTACTGTACAGATTTGTGGTTCACGGGCTTCGATCCGCCGAGGTCTCTAATTCCAGCAGCAGCAATAGCCCCGCCTGTCACTACTAGCGATCCTGCAGCCCCCACCATAGCACCGCAGCCGAGTGCGACTCAAGTTCCTGGCGCAAGGCAGACAGCTGCAGTGTGGAACCCAATACCTCTTCCATCGCCACTCCAACACGTGCCTCTCCCAAAAGAGACCAATACAGCGCCGGTGCTCAAGCCCCAAGTGTCCAAAGAGACCAACCCAGTGCCAATCATCAACCCACAAGCATCACAGCCTCAACCTGCAGACGGTGACCTAGGATCGGAGCATCAAGATCCGTCTCAGAAAGGCAGTGGCTCAACAGAACCTAGCGGACAATCGAGCATTCAGAATGATAGCAGTGGAGATCCCAAGTTTGCAGGAGATTCGAACCAAGATGCATCAAAAGACCCGTCTTCGCCTGCCCAGAATCAAGAAGTCAACACTTCTCAAGTTGCTACGAACGCGGCGGCCCAACATAGCTCTCAGAACGAAAGTCCAGATCCAGGAGATTCAACACCTGCCGAGGCTGCCACGCGGGCAGAAACAACAATATCGCTTGCTGGTCATGCTGTGGTGGTGGGCCCCTCTGGTGTTCATGTCGACGGCGTAAAAGTCAATCCTAATCAGGCTCCAACAGACATATCTGGAATGGCGGCTATGAATCAAGGAAACAGCATCGTAGTCGCCAGCCAGATCTTCCATTTAGCGGCTTCAACAGAACAAGTTGCCACCATAATTGCAGGTCAGACAGTCATCCCTATCGCTAACGGCGTGTCAATCCATGGTACTTCCATTACAGGCACAAACACTGCGATAATCTCCGGAACAGCGGTATCTGTTCACGACTCACACCTTTACTTCGGAAGCAAATCATATCCACTTCCAACCGCAAACCCTGCATCAGCGACGACGTTAGCCAATGGAGTAGTAGCTCTCCCAATATCGAACGCAGTATCAATCTATGGAACTACACTTACCGCTGGCGCACCAGCAGCAACATTTTCTGGAACTGCCGTCTTCCTTGATGTTTCGAATAACCTTGTCTTCGATGGTACTGGCCAGGCTCTGCCTCATTTCCCTCAAACAGAATCCCAGTCGGGCCAGGTCACAACTATTGATAGTGTAACCCTTGAGCTGCTCTCAAGTGGTATCTCTGTTGCCGGCACTACTTTGACACCTGGAGCACCTGCTATTACTGCTTCCGGCACTGCTACGTTGTCGCCGGGAGTTTCAGGAACGACCGTAGGTGGAACTTTGGTGTCTCTGGGCTCAGGTGGCAATCTTGTGATTGGGTCCAAAACAGTGGTACTTGGGGTTCCCAGTGGAAGCTTGGGTGGAATAATTATGGGGGGATTCGGGTCTGGAGGTCCATTGGCCAACAGCTCGTCCCCACCAGGGAGCCTACCGTCAGTTCTTAGCAATAGTACAAGTTCTAGCGTGCACATCTTTGAGGGAAGGGCTAGATGCTTACGAAGCCTTGTTCCAGAGGGTCTAGCTGGCTTCACAATTGCGATACATTTAGTGTTGTATTTTTACAAATACCAATAAGCTCTACCTTGTGAAATGATTACCATGTCCCATCTTGACCTGAGAATTTCTTTTTGTTGCACTATGGTATGCGCTCTAGTGACTTGAAGGGAATTACACGATATTCTCCCGTGCTCGTAAGCTGTCATTTTAAAAATGAAGCGATGCGCAAGAGAGAATAATGCATAGTGTCCAAGTTCTAGGTGAGAATGCTGGTGTTAAAGCAGTGAATCGGTAGCGATCAGCTTCTCGGATTCAAAGGCGCCCGGGTTCAGCAAAATTCAGACAATGGATCTTCGAACGTAGTGCTGTTCTAATCTCTAAATCAACATTTTTCGGGAGCGTGATGCGAAAGACAGAATCGTGTAGACAATGATATCAAGACATGGGCATCTCGACTCATGACGAAGTTGACCTTGAATTGGATTGATGATTGGAAGATACCACTGAAAATGGGAGACTACCCAAAGTATCTGGGACAGATGGGCCATCTGTAGACTCGTAGGCTCAGGGATCAGCAGAGCTCAAAATAGCAGTACTTCTAAAGAATATGGCAGACAGGTTCCCTGCTAGCGCGTCTCTGCTAGCATCCGGACCCTCTCCGTTCCACCGACAAATACAGACTGTGTGACTACCATCAGCCTCTCCGTAGAGCCTCTTGCGTACAACCTCACCTCTTGGTGGTCCCTAACATGTCCGGCATTCCGGTCTACGTATGAGCCACGTCCAGTGTCCCAAGTCCCTTCCCAAGGCCTTTCAGGCAACCAAGCGGCTTTATGTAGAGATATTTGGGTTCAGCGTAGCCAATAACAGCATATCCTGTTTGTTTGATCGCCAGCGCCCGATTTCTTTGTATTCATCTCCGCCTCTTGCATGTCCTGGACACTGAATGCGAGGTATATGGCGAGTGGGCCAGACCATCGTCGGCTCCAGCTGCGCATACTTGCTCCCCGCCTCAAGGGCTGGGTAGATGGTGTATGTGCGATGGGCTCTGGATAGAGTGTCGTGGCAAAGCTGCTGAAATTGGAAGGGTAGGTAGGACGCCGAAGTCAAAGGCTGGAAGAGGAGAGGTTGTCAAGCGGCTCGGGCGTGCAGAGAAGGTGGCTAAGGGCTTTATGGTCAGCTTTGTCTCGTGCTTTAGGACTAGACTAACGATTGTATGCGTAATATGAATAATGTTAAGGTGCGAGTGCTATGCTACAGTACGAATCTGGGTGTGTGGTGTGAATGGCACACCAGGCAGTCTTTGATCGTCGCTGTAAGGCTGAGCTAGAACCGAAGCACGGACTTAAATGATTATCCGGACAATAGGTGCGAGAGGAAGGATCTTGGAGCCTGGTGCTTACGTTCCCCGCTTCTAGACATGCCTTCTCAACTCATCTCATCTCTACAAATATCCATCATTTATGGAACAAGAAGAAAATCAGCCGTGAAATAATCTCTTTTTAGGATCCGTGGTTGTTGGCCTTCACGCGCTTCAAGCATTAATCTCAGCCATACTCATACAGTTGAGGCTGTCAACCATGCATCTTCCATTCCTCCAAAACTCATATTGGCTCAAGGTACTACGGGCCCGAGTTGGGGTAGCGAATTGCTTGATCCAGCTCCTTCTTTACTCAGTCTGTTGGCTTGAGGGTTTTATTGGCCAAGGTTGTCGTATGCAATTCCCGAGTTGTTGTGAGTCAAGCATCTTTTAACGCCTTCTGACTTTTTGTATCAATCAACATACCCCTGTAACACTACAGGTAGCACTCGACATACTACCGAGAGTCAGACCCAGTGATCAGCAGCCTCTTGAGTGACCGTTTGGTCACTACCTGACGACGAGTCTCTAAAAGTTTTCTTGGGTCCCTTGCTGTTGTGGCATTGCTTATTGGCATCACATTTACTATTCTAGACTATTTGCTGTGGTCACAAACTTTCATATCAACTGCCAAGCATCGCTCAAGCTAAAGAAAAGCAAGATCGAGCCATCGCTGATGCCAGCAACAGCCTCAGGATTTGCTTGGAGACCGAACCCAATCAAGAGAGGTTACATCGCCTTCGGTGACTCCTACGCCGCCGGTATAGGCACAGGCAACACATCCACATGGGGTTGCAGACAGGGTCAATTCGCCTATCCAGACTTAATCGCGTCAACTGTCCAAGACATCGACTTTCAGAACCTCGCCTGTTCGGGAGCCACAGTCCAGAATCTTCTCGGCGGAGGAGCATACAGCCAAGTCGATGCATGGTCAGCAACTTTTGAAAGCCATAACTGGAAAAATAAACACTAATTTCAGCTTCCTACAGGACCAACCCAACCATCGCTGACATCGCTACTGTCTCCATTGGCGGCAATGACATTGGCTTTTATAACATTTTGACGGCATGTGTACTCTGGGTTGGTGGAAACTGGGCTGGAGACTGCGACACAGAAGTTGCTAGAGCTAATGAGATACTTGCCAGCCCGGATCTCTCCACTAACATTACGTCCTTATTGAAAGAAATCATTGACAAGAATGGCAATGACGCCTTCAAGGTTTATATGACAGGCTATGTGACTTTTTTCAACGAAGCCACACCCCTCTGCGAGAGCTCATCGTTCAGAATATGGAATCCTCATTACGACAATACCCACAAAGAGAAAGGCCAACCATGGCTAACGACAGCTCTACGGGCACAGCTAAATGGTGTAGTCGTGGCTTTGAACACGATACTTAGCCACATCACCAGCTCTGTTAACGCTTACTATGGCAAGCCTCAGAGAATCGTCTTCGTAGATCCAAATTCTGCTTATGCCGGTCATAGATGGTGCGAAGATGGCGTGTACGAGCCAGACAATGGTAGACTGAATACCTGGCTCTTCCTTTCTAGTACCCCTGATAACAGTCTTCCCGACGATCCACTTGGTGCTTTGGAATCTTACCAACAAGAGCAGTCGGAGCTGGTTGCCGGACCTGATTTTCCTCTGCCAGATCCGACTACGTGCAGAGAAACCTTGACACAATTCAATTCACTTGTCGGTAGTGACTGGTATGGTAAGTCACCGACTCTTGAATGACGTATTGTAACTTTTCACGACTGACGTAGTCTAGAGAACATGCTGTGCGATATTTCCATCGCTACTTCAAGCGCCTCGTCCTTCGAGTACCAAGTCATACAAAAAGAAGCCATGCAGATTCAACAGGGTAATCTCACGGAGCTACGAATTCCGTGGTATGTACCAACCAGGTTGGCGAAGACTTTCCACCCAAAGACTCTTGGCCAGCTAGCGTTTGCAAATGAGATCATGGCGGTGTGGTGACGGGTCGTTAGTTGTCCTATTCATGAAAAACACGCATCAATGCACGCATAGGGGCCCACATAGAGTGTAGATAGTGGTTGGGCCGTCTCACGCCGGGGATAGCAAGCCTAAATAGGCCTAAATAGAGGCCTGAACAGGCATATTTCTCGTACCCCAGCGTAAGAAAACTTTCATGCCTATGGCATAGACCTGGAGTGGAATGATAGTTAGCTATGTACAGATGTGGATGGGTGGGACAAGAAGTATACAATGACTCTGAAAGAGACGAAATCGAATGAAGAGCCATTGACAGGTGCAAAACAGGTGGCTATATAGCTCGTACTGGACAACTGTCTCCTACCCCTTGCAGGGGTACCGACAGGGCCATGAAACAGGGGCATGTCATGTGACCCACTAACCCCCAGTCCCACTGTGGCGAATATCCCTGACTGCAAAGTGAAACGTGCTGAGAGTGCACGGTTTCCTTCACCACTAATCATGTGAGACCAATCCCGCCAAATCAAATGCTCGCGCGCATGTGACTGACGTAACTTCCAGGTGATGATGCGCACATCCGGGTTTAGCGATTTCTCAAGCGCTCAATCGCGACAGAGCATCTTTGTCTACAGTCTTCATGTTTTGGCTCTGTTTCATGAGAGCAAAGTTGGACGTACCAGAAGCATGGCTCCCAGATGGCTTTTTGGCTCTCGTCTATGACCACTTTCTCGGGGTTTCACATCTGTGGGGCTGATTTTGATAATGCAACCAATACTCCAAGATCTGCCACCAAAGCTCTGAACGAGCCTCTGAACTTGACCGAAGTCCTGGACGGCGTTGACTCAGATATACCCGCATACTGCAACGGTTCAAATTCTTGGATCAAATTCAAAGCGTCCCAAATAGTCCCAAACTGCAGAGCTCCCGACTTCATGCTAAAAAGCTCAAAGATCTGGCTCTGGGGTCACACGGAGTATGAATTTTTACCGCGTGGAGTCCCTGCTAGGCTGGAGTTCCCCGTGATGCGGACTCCACTGAGGGTTACCTCCAGTATAGTACCATCGCAAAGCAATCTATGGAAAGTAGGTACTGACCCGCGGAACAGGCAGTTTCTGGCCGTGCACCATAGCCATTGTCAATCTGAACACTGTTCCAGCATCTTTTCTCAATGGCGGCGGGACAAGAGGACCTTATCCGAGATCTGATGTGGTGACATACTACGACGTTCAGGATGCCCTTTCCGAGGTCTGGAGCGATTGTGTTTATGGAATTGAACGCAAAGTTGGTTGGGCAGCCACTGGTAAGCCAATCCCTCTCTATCAAAAGTCATAAAGATTCAAGTGACTCATGCTTGGCTGCGCCTGGAATAATCAAGGCGAACTCGCTTGGCGTTTTCATGTTTAATGCCCAGTCGGATATTAGCAACGCGATTCCCAATAATCCGACGGATCTCTTCGATTCCAGAACAATGAATGTGACTCCCTGGGACACCGACGCCAGCTCTCTGTCTCTTGCCATAGCACAAGGTCCATAATGGCTAGGCAGAGCAATCATATGATGCAGTTTTACGCTCATTGTTGAGGCCCCTCGAGGCCCAGCACGGTCCAATACTTTTGTACGTACCCGATATGATGACACTCCCAGCCCTGGACGACGAGAAACGTACATGGAGAAACATTCTACTCTGTGCAAAAACTTCATCTTCGCTATTATACAACGTCCCGTATCACGTGCGTATCTTGTTCCTTATATCTCGAAGGATCACTTCCTCTTTGTTCGGTAGAGGTTTCAGTCCTGCGCCCCCTCGAGAATCGTTCTCTGGGTTTTACATAAGTCTATCGGTTAGCTCCAGACCAAGTACGCCGCCTTCGTATAACATATTCAGCCTATCATACCACATTATCATAACGCTTGGAATCTTTCCTCGCCCTCGATTTCCTACTCATCCAGACTTGTGTTCCCCATGTCTCTAGGCGCTCACGATCTCCTATTCCTAGGTTTAAATGCTTTGAATCCTTGCATTGGAAATATTGTTTTCCAACACGTCCTCTATTCCGCCAATAATTGGCGAGTATCGAGGTCAAGTAGAGTGGGAGTGCCGCTAAGGGTCGATCCTAAATTGGACCTTGTAGGCCATGAAGCTAGCTTAGCCCGAACGTGCCGCGCCCTTGAGTTTGCAGGCCTTCCTTCCACACGACTTTGATGCGCCCAATGTCGAGCAACATCGGTGATTGCTCCCTTTTCCGAGAGGTTCCTGCTGTCGTTCTCACGCCGGGCTGCCAGACGCCCCGGTATTGCACCAGTCAAGGATTTCCTTGTGTCTCGACCTATGTTCTCGCCTGTAGTGCACCAGAAGGAAGGTAGGTTACACCGAGCACACCCGGTATTTGCGGGTGTTCCTGGTAAGGAGATGTGGTGGGGTTTCACCGTTATTGCGTCCGGGGATTCTTGTTCCAGAAGGTCCTACTTTCATTCTTGTTTTTTGACGTCAATTAACTCTTTGGCTGGAGTTAGTATTTGTTGGAATCAGCCAATAGGAGGCCAGCATGGCTACACTACTAAGTTCCAAATAGGTGTTGTGACTACTCCTCATGGTGGCAAATAGCCTTATGGTGGCAAATAGCCTTAGCGTGGGCTTCACACCATAGATACGTAGTCCACCTCCATCCTTCCTACATACTTCACAGAACATGACAATAGAATAACTATTCTACATGATATGAGACCATTGAATGCACACATTATCCAATAGTATTCGACGTCATGCACTGTGCTATGTCAATCATGAGGATGCACTGGACTGCAGCTACGAGGGAAGGTCTAAAAATCGTCGTCGTCATCCGTCAGCACCCGTCCAACCTTTGCCCTCTTCCCCCCAAACATTCCAAGCTTGTCATTCAGCGCTCCTTATTGATAGTCCTCCCTTATTAACAGTCCTCACGAACTTCTCATGCGCTATGAGTCCAGATAAGCTCTAGATGGTTGAGAGTTCTTGCTATGGCCAGCGCCACCACTGGCCCCACATTCTAGAAAAAAACAGCAAACCATGTGGTTGGGAGTATTTAGTTCGTATTAGGTTCGATTCCTAATGGCGCTGGTACAATGGTGTTGCGGTGCTTTTTATTTCGGCAGCGCCATTAGCCACAGGTTTTAAAGTTCCGTCGAGCGGTGTTGGCGAGGGCTTAGGTTCGAAACCCGTGCGACGCATTGATTGTGAAGCGAAATGTTCCCCGTTAGTCATAGTCCGGGGGCGGACACCGTTGGTTGTGGTCGTGGGTTGGGAGTATTAGTCGTATTAGGTTCGATTCCTAATGGCGCTGGTACAATGGTGTTGCGGTGCTTTTATTTCGACCATTGTACCAGCGCCATTGGAATCGAACCTAATACGAACAAATACCCCAACCACAATTCTTCGCCCCAATGATCCGTGTGAAAATAGCGAGACCTTCGTGTGGAATCGCAAGGTCATGTTCATCATCGGCGTGGCGTTAATGACTTCTTTTCGATTTTTGATTGATCGTCGGCGTAGTCCGGACGAGAATCCCCGAGCACGACCGAATGGCGTGGAGTAATTGCATCTTCGCAACTCCAGCACATGCTGCAGGTAATCAAGAGATCTCAAATAGCTTCAAACTGTCCACTCTTTCGATTTGTTTCATGGACATGTTCGGCCTTGACTCGCATCGGGATCAACTCCGAAGTCCAGTCGGTAGCGTTGGTTCAGAGAATCTTTTTGGTCTACTTTCTGCATATTTTTTAAACCCACATCAATGCGAAAACTCCATCGCGATAATTTGCTTGTATGATTATGATGATATGAATCGGGCCTTCTAGCAAGAAACGAGCTAAAAGCTGATGAGTTCCGTGGTGTGTAAGTATGATTGACTATTCAGTCTATCTCAGCAAAAAGGCTAGCTATGTTAGGCTTTGCCATAAGACCTACAGCCAAGAGGAGACTGCTACCCCTCACAATACGCGGTGCGATCAGACGCCTTAACACCTCTTCCGAAGAGTTTTTTTTGCCTTTTGCACGGCAATGGTCGGTCTACAGTGCTGCAACAGCCAGACTTCCCACCTGATGTATCTTTTCTGCATGATGATGTTACTCACCTTTTCCCAGCAACGAGAGTCATCTTTTTCTTTGACAATCTTGTCGGTTCTTCAGTGTCATGAGGAGGGCAGCTTATCCTTCCTTGTTGGAATTGGAAACCCGTCGCTACAGAGACGTTGCCAGTAAACGCAAGCTTTCTGGACCAGTGGAGACTGCGGTCGGCCGCTCCTTCGACGAAAGGTAGTTGGATATGAACGTATTTGATTCAGGCCGCTATGCGAATTCATAGATATAGTAACAACGCTCAACATATTAGCACGGTGATTATATTGATATAAAACCACTGGTTGAGATCTCCCTTGTCGAATCTTGCTCTACTCACAGTCTAAGTACTGCATTCCCTTTCCAGAAGCACGAATGTGTCCATAAAGGGTCAATCAACTCAGTAAAAGGACATGCAAATTTCAGGTCCTTGGCCACGACAGGCAGATGACTACTTCATGACTGAGCTATCGAATTGCATGGTGAGATCGAAGTTAATAAAGCATACATACTTCGTGACGCTAGTTGAGCCTTGCCCAAGCCAATGATCCCCGGAATCGGCGAGCCTGAGTCTGTCCGCCAATTTAGTATGATGAACGGCCTAATCTGCACCTTCGCGAGACATTTCGGGCCTCTACGGGTTTTCGAAATTAGGCGGATGAGTAGGCTCCAGTGACATCAGCCAATTGCTCCCATAACACCTGCAATGACTTTCGCTCACGCCCCATGATTGTCGGTCTATACTCGGTGCCTCTGTTAAGCGCTCTTTCCTGTCTCAGAGGTCGGAAGAGATGCGATTTTGACCTTTGAAAACCAGCTTGCAAGCCCAGAAGGTCTGCCCAGCAAGGTGGAAAGATAGATCAAGATGGACGGTAACACGATCACTATAGATTCAAATACCACAGGAGTTGACAACTCAGCTGGTCTGAGGATTCGTATGCTGGAAGATCTTGGAGAGGTTAATAAACAACGATCTTAACATTAGTAGTGGGTCTACTAGAGGGGAACAGAGGACCCATATTAGAACCATATATCCGCCAGTTCTGCTGAAAAGCCATCTGAGTAACATATTAAACGTCGAGGATCGCAATCGGATAAATTTCCTAGTCTCTCATATAGTCGCTGTCAGCTGGCTCCACTGTCTCCAACCCGGCACCGTAAGGCACCTCTAGAGGATGATTCGCTTATGGATATTCCTTCTGCTAGCGCAAGCATCTCCACTCAAGAGCGTTATCTATTACAATTGAAACTGGAAAGTTGCTACGCAGACTACTATGGCCAATAAGATAACACGTCCTGAGGCGGGTACCAACAAGATGTTTGTGCCACCTATTACAGTTCGATCAAAGAGAGCGAGTGGTGTAAGGGTAGATGCATCTGTCTAAGCCAAGTAATGCATACTCGTAATTTGATGCGTGCAACTAGCGACCCTCAGCTATCCAGGCCCAATCTGTCGTACGCCACCCACCATCCGCCATCCGCCATCTGTAGCCGATGCCTTAAGAGGTAGCAGTCTCATTCTGTACCCTGGGACCCGGCGCCGCCGTCAAAGTCACTCTAAGCCCGCTTGGCAGGCTAGAGATGCCGGCATACCCTCGAAGCGTGCACATAGCAGTCACGGCCACGGCACCAGCCCATACATCAAACCAGCGAGCATCGACACGATTACGATGTTCTACATCGACTTTTAAGCTCACGCGGTTAGCCCAGCGCGCTATGTTACGTCAGCGACACAGCTGGCCCTGGAACAAACGCGAAGGTGTGAAGATGGCGAACGCTCTCAACGGGATTGGACTCACAAGGGCCGGGAGGCCAGTTGTATGTGACTGGCACCTCCACCTGTACCCCAGATTCTCCTTCTGGACCAAATATCTGGCGTTCGGTGTTGACAGGGATTATAGACAACAGCTTTTGCGAGATCTGGGCAGGATCTCTCATAGCGAATTGCTGACCAAAACATGCGACGGAGGGTTCGTAGAGACTCAGTACTATCACCAGGTTTTTTTGCCGCCCTTCGTAAGTACTTGGTCAGATGATCAATCTCAATCTTGGTAGTGGTCTGCTAGACAAAAGGCACCATGCGTGCGCATCATCGGATGACTAAGGTACTAGATATCGTTGACTGATGGCCCCAGACCGCATGATGACTCCATAACACAGGGTACGAACAGAGACGTCAAGGTGCGACATACCTATATCTCTTATCCAGCCACCTTGGGTGCGCGTGCCTCCTCCCACGACACAAACACCGTACAATCTCTCTGCCGCCCTTGAGATCTGTTGGTAAGAAGCAATGTCCGATATGACACCGTCTTTATGAAAGATATCGATAACGCAGGTAGCGTCCGCTTTTGGAGTTGAAACAGAGTTAGTTTGTATTAAGTTAGATTAGCCACGAGATATACTGTTGCTGCCAAGGAAGCGCAATACACTCACGACTACTGAAGCGACGAGGGAGTTGGACATTAAAAGTCCCATTTGACCTATCGCCGAAAGTCAAAGGTTGACGGACGGTTGGAATCGTGTTAAAGGCTTGGAGACAGCTGTATCTGTTCATGTCGAAGCCGAGAAGATTACCGTTACAGACGGGAGCTGAATTGTCCGCATCAAATGAGAAGTTCGATATCAGAGCTGGAAGATCATGCGGGGGCGATGCAGGCCTCTGGAATGTCTCATTAATCGGTGACGCTAATAGTAGAGAGCTTGTGACTTGGAAAGGTGGCAGAGTGAGTGTAAGAGTAACAGAGGTTAGAAATATCGAGATACAGCCTATGTAAAACATAAACGAAAACATTGTTCAACCTGTTAAACACCAAGGGTGGTTGATGAACGGTTGCTCAATCTGAATTTTGCGACAATTAACATCCTCACACATCATTCGATAAGCGCTCACAGCCGAAAGTTGTTGATAGGACGGGGTCGGTTACCTACACAAGCGCATAGATGCGCGGAACGCATATCGACGAGGATTCCAGTCAGAAAAAAGAGTCGCGTCGTGCATATATTTAATGATGCTTTAAGTGGATATAGTATCAGAAATGAGGGACAGAAGAGGATTTGAAGTACTCGGGTGTGAAGTCAAAGATTCTTTTCTACACAGTACAGCAAGACGGACTCCTTAGAGTTAGGCATTGCTTCTTCGTTCACTCAAAGTGCCCTCATTCGAATTGAAGCACGTGTGAACGCCAACCTCCCTGAGTCTTTTTCCGATAACATTCTAAAATAGATGGTAGAGGGTCCCTCGTCTTAGCTGGACAAAAGCACCGATCATACTTCCAAACTTTACAAGGTCACTGGCAGCTCCGTGACTTCAACATTCATCGTTGACGGCGTGTACGGCAGCTCTGATGGGCCCTTCGCATGTCTCAGGTTCGGAAGCCTTGGGAAAAGAGTCGCTGTGCATACAGCGCGAATCAGCATATCATTGCACATTGAGTGGACTGACTGAAGTCAGGTTACATACCGAACACGATCTCCAACTCGTCGCGCGAAAGCTATTCTCCCTGACAGCGATGTGGACCATAGCCGACCCCGACTGTATCATGCGTGACATGCTTCCGGTGGACACCGAGTATGTTGGTGTTCTCGTAAGAGCCTTCGTCGCGGTCTGCGGACCGAACGGAGCAGACTACGCCATCGCATTTCTTGGTGTGCTGCGGAATCAGTGAGTCTAGGAATCAACGGGTGGTCGCTAGTAAGACGCACTTTGCCGCCAATGGTAGTATCTTCTAGCGCAGCGCGGCGACTGTTCAATGCAGATGCCGTATGGTAACGAAGGCACTCATTCACCACATTCTTTGCAAGTGAGGGATCTTCCTTGAGCTCTTCGAGCTCCTCTGGATATAAGAAGAGTGTGAGAACACCCTAAAACCGGAAGGATATAAGTCGAGACACTCATCTGCTATGAGACAGGGCGGTTGGGCATACCAGAGCGATAGATTTAATCAGGGCGGTATTACGGGCCACATAGACTAAGAAGGCGAGGTTGGAGACATATTTTCTCTGGAGGGTACCATTATTATACTATAGACTGTTAGGCTGATGTTAGGCAAATTACAAATTCATACCTCAAACTATGCGATCCTTACAAATTCATACCCCATCTTACATTTTCATACCCCTCACCAAAAAATGGGGTATGAATTTGTAAGTTGCCATTACTTGGGGTATGAAAATGTAAGTTGCCATTTCTTGGGGTATGAAAATGTAAGATGCCACCAACTTGTAGATGTAGCCGTCCCTGTGCCCTGGAAGTGTAAAGTGTACCAGAGGACGTAGTGGTGGTCAAAGACGACGGGCTTCTGTCACCTTACTTAGTGATATGCCAAAGAGAGGTAGAGGACGGGGGTCTTGAACGATAGCGGTAGCTGCCTGGCAGATGGCGGTCGGTAGGCTCCACTGAGCGTCAGGTAGTGGTCGTCGACTCCGCTGTCGATGACGGTGGTGTGGTGTGGTGTGGTGTTGTGGGGTGGGGTGCTTGCGTTTGGCCCTCGAGTTGGCCCACTCGGCTTCCGTCTGATGTCTTGGAGCTATTAAAATTTTCATTAGATGCGGTCGAAGAGATTCCCTTACTTCTATAATCTAACGGGCCAGATCGCGGATCCTCTCCTTAATAATTTAAAGCCTTTATAAAATTTCGAAAGTAAGCCCTTAGATAGCAATTCCAGGCTACTATAGTAACTTACAACATCATACCCCTGTAGATGGCAACTTACATTTTCATACCCCTATTAATGGCATCTTACAAATTCATACCCCGTTGGGGTATGAAAATGTAAGATGGGGTATGATTTTGTAAGGATTGCATAGTTTGGGGTATGAAAATGTAATTCGCCCGGCTGATGTTAGTCTACAAGATAAAAATTGGAACTTCTTGAAGGCTATAGACTTACCTGCTCCGTCGCAAGCTTGCTGACCAGATCATCTTGGAGTTTCTGGATCCTCTTCTTTACCAGCTTGTGCATATACTTCTTCAAATTGCTGTTTGTACGGCTACCAGTCTCTGAAGACTTCCCAGCTGAGGGTATAAGGACTTACCTGGTGGAATTTTGGGCTTTTCGGCTTGTACCAGTGCGGACCTCGCTGTGATGAGTCAAAGAACCGATATCTTCTTCCGAAACGTCAAGCACTCGGTATATTATCTTCACAAATGGTCAGGGAGCTCTCTCTGGTCGTCTCGGGCGCTATTAGCCGATTTGAAAATTGCTTACTCGTGTTGTGCATTCCTCAACCAAATAAACCGGTTTCTTACAGTCCTTCTTGATCATGTTATCAAGAATCTGATTAACCGTTATCTACAACGTCGGACGCATCTTGGCGACAGCTTCGGGTTTGAATGAGCTCTCAAGCATGTTTTCGAGTTGCGATATGGTTGGGCAAATTACAAATTCATACCCCAAACTATGGGATTCTTACAAATTCATACCCCATCTTACATTTTCATACCCCTCACCAAAAAAATGGGGTATGAATTTGTAAGTTGCCAGTCTTTGGGGTATGAATTTGTAAGTTACCATTTCTTGGGGTATGAAAATGTAAGATACCATTAACATGTTAGCAGCAGCCCTCACGGGGGCCCTGCGACGTCCCTACGGGAGCCCTACGGGGCCCTATTTAGGTCCAAATAGGAGTGTCTGGCTGTCAAGCGCAGACACCCCCGAGACCAAGCTTTTTTAGCTGAGTTGCTAACACAACATCCCTATACCTATAAATCATTAGAAGGGTATTTTAGGGTGTTTCAGGCTATCTACCCCAATTGTTAGTAACCCGAGTTACCGCTAAAGGGTTAAATAGGGGTGTTCACACTTCACGCTGCAGACACCCCTAAGGGGCCTCACAGAGCCCCCAGAGGAATAATTCCTAACACCAACCCGCCCTATAGATGGCAACTTACAAAATCATACCCCTATTAATGGTATCTTACAAAATCATACCCCTGTTAATGGTATCTTACAAATTCATACCCCATTGGGGTATGAACATGTAAGATGGGGTATGAATTTGTAAGAATCCCATAGTTTAGGGTATGAAAATGTAATTCGCCCCGATATGGTTAGATTTGCGCGAAAGTCTAGGGACCATCTCTCGCCTTTGGTTCTTGTGGTCCGGGTCATCCATGTTCACAACATTATTAAGTCTTTGACCTTTAGCAAACCGCCACCTTCGTGAATCTTAGGGTTCCCAGGAGTTCTACGGTCCTAGAAAGGTATGAGCGATCAAAGGAAGCAACATTCTTGAGTGAAGATCGGCTTCTTAGAGCTTACGACGGATGGCTTGTTCGACTCCAACGCTTCACACACGTCTTTATGCTTCCAGACCATCCAAACCTCGGTTCTATCGAAGAGCTTGGCTTTGGATACAGGAGCATTGTGGCACAATTTCTCATTCTCCCGGGGTGATTTGTATTTCTCGTGGCGAGCGAAGGGAAACTGAGGCATCTCTACGAGCAAGTCAGCACTTGATAGTGATCAGCCATTGGCTTGTAAGCCAGGCGTACCGTTGGTGGAACCCATGACGCGTAAGAGCTGGTTTTCGAAGGCCAGCAGTCAGGTTAATGGTCACAATGGTGTTAGTTTTATTCTGCTTCGAGACATAGGGAAGTCGGAGAAATTAAAAATCGGGATTGTTTTAACGATTATAGAACGTTTTATTTACTCCGCTCTACGTACCTATTGCTCCAAAGGGCATCCATCATCTAACATCCAAGGGAAATCATCTGCAGGCCATCAGCGGTTATTACCTCTTCCCATCCCCAGAATCAGCTCCCAAGTTGCAGAGTGCAAGAGCTCTGTGTAGACAGCCGTGGGGCTGCCCTCTCCCAGGATCATGGTCACTGGAGTGCGGCTCACCACCATAACAACTAATTATAGAGGAATAGGATAGATCGTTCCCGCTGTTTTCCGTCAAAGACTGTATTCAACCCTGTCTCCTGAGATATAACATATGTATATTATCAATTTATTGACTCCAGGCCACCATTTCAGGGTCTTCAGTCAGAGTGACGGGTGATTAAGGCTGATTTAGAGTTGCGGCTCTCAGAGTAGCGTGTGTGCAAAAATTGAAGGTAATCTTACTTTATTCTTGGCAGCGCTTTAATCAGCCCCGCCCCGCCCAGCCATGGGCCTCAGGCTAGGGCTAGGGCTAACTTGAGAGAGAGAGGGCTAGGGCGGGGCGGGGCTACGGGGTAGTCTGGCTAGGGCTGAGCTAGTCTAGGCGGATCTAGTGATTTCTAACCACTAAAAATCAGGCTTAGCAACGCTAGACCTCTAGCGTCGCAGCAAACTATATAGATAGATATGGAATTTTTAATAAAATCTCTCTATCGAGCTTTCCTCGCAAAAATTTAGTGGTAACGAGGCTCTATGACTGTACTCCCTATATATTACATTTATAAAGAGTTAAATTATATTAGAAATATCTTATTAAACGTCTTATTAATAGATCTTAGTACGCGAGTAAGAGAGAGATATAGTTATAAATGGACCTATAGAATAAAGCTTTAGAATTATCTCTTATTAGTCTATACTATCGATAATAACTCGATATAATATAGAGGAGAAAGAGAAAGAATAAGAAGAAAGATATCTATAACTAATTAGCTAGAATAATAAAGAGATAAGAATATATTTTAGTGAGAAGATAGCTTAATAGAGGATAGTTAGTTAAATAATAAAAGAAGTTAAATTAACTAAATATAAAATAAGTCTAAATTAACTATATTCGAGAATTAATCGAATTAGATACTAGTTTTATAGTAGTAGATTTAACTAAGTATTAAAAGTATTAGATATCGAAACTATCTATAACGCCTTAATATCTTATAAGATCTATATTCTAAGATACTTAGAGGTCTTAATAATATTATTCTTTAATAAGCTTCTAATAGACGTAAGTAGACGTTTTATACTATTAAAGACTCGCTTATATTCTATAAACATAGTCGATATAGCAAGTATATTTCATTTAAATCTTATTATATTCTTATAATTATACTTCTTTTATTAGTCGATAATATTAGAGTCTAGATAATTCTTCTTATTAATACGATTATCGAGCTGATAATAGATTATATAACTATCTTTACTAAAGACGATATCTTTATCTAATATATTAAGAAATTAATTAAACGCCGTATAGTCACGCGAGGAGAAGGAGAAGAAGATAAGAATTATAGGATTTAACGTTATTTAAGAAGTATCTTTATCCTTATACTAAGTATCTTATATTACTTATATTATAATTATCGTAAAGCTTAATAATATAGAAGTATTTAGCTTAATTCATTTCTATCTCTTTATAAAATATATAATAACTGCAGCGATATAAGTAGATAACTTATTAATAAGACCTTAATACTTTTTAAGCTTTGCCATACAATTATTTAAATAATAAAAAAGATGTTTATACTTTATAATAGCGTAGATTTTTAACTACGTAAAAGCATCGTAATCTTTTTAATACTCTTTTAATTACTAAGTTAGATACTTTATAGTAAATAAATACTCTTATAGTCTATTATAAATATCTATCTTTACGTTACCTTCGAGTTAAGCGATAGTCTTCTTAAAAGACTTAATAAATGCTAAAATCTATATTAATACTTTTTAATCGTTATATAAAAGCGTATCGTTCTTAATTAAGTTATCGTTATTATTATTTAAAGATTTCTTTATAGACTTCTAATACTCGATAACTCGATATAGAAATAGTTAATCTTATAACGTAGTCGAATTACTCGTTCGATTATAATATAAACTAAATTTCATCGAGTCGCGTTATCTAATTTCACTATAAGATCTTTAATAGTTTCGAGGATTAATTCGAAAGTAGTATACTTAATCGCATTAAATTTTTCGCGTCTTTGAGAAGTAAGGCGAATAAATTTAACGATGTTATAGAGTTTCTTAATAGAATCGCATTTCCTTTATAGATCTAGGATCTTTTATTTATATTTTAATTTCTTAGCGATAAGAATCTCTATAATAAAGGCGTTAGGATTATAGCTAAAGAGGAGTGCTTAGATAATAAGATTAATAATATAATTAAGATAATATAGTCGACGATCTCATTTTCGAAGTTTAGGATATAATATCTTAAGAACGATATTAACGCATATATTATTAAACTCTATATTATTAAGAACGAAGTATTCGAGATAATTAATTATATTATAGTTCTAAATAACCGTAATTACTTGCTAAGCTATATTTTTATCGAAGTATATATCTTATATACGTCTAATTACTAGAAGAATAGTGCGAGAATTATTATTATTATCGATGAAATGACTTATAATAGTAATAAGAGCGAGATTATTCTTAAAGATTTATAAGTCGAATAAGAGGTATATATTGCTTCTACTCTTATAGAGTATCTCTTTAATAACTTTTTAATGCTCTAGATAGGTCGTTATAATCTAATCGCGAATGATAGAGCTAGAAGTCGATAGATACTCTATAAATATCTTCGAAAATAGTCTTAGCAAGTCTCTAAAGAACTAATTACTATATATAGAAAACGCGATATATATAGTAATAATTCACCGAATAAAGAAATATTTTATCTTTTCTACGAGATCTAGGCTTATAAGACTCTTAAATCGAGACGTATTTTATAGTTACTAGATAATCGTAGAAGCGTTAAGCGATAGAATTTAAAGTCTTCTTATTTATAATATTAAGGCGCGAGTACTTCTAAAGATAGTCGATTATTTTCTATAAGAATCTAGTACTTAAATAAAGATATTTATCTTTTTTATAATACTTATAGCTTATAGAAAGAAGCGTTAGATGATTTTAATATAATTAAGATATAATAGACTTATAATACTTATAAAGCTAGAACTTCTTTAATATATCTAACTTAATAACCTCTAAGTCGTATTCTTATATCTTTAAGCTCTTTATAATTTTTGAAAAGTATATTAAGTTCTTTATTTAGACGTACTTCTTACTATAAATCGTTAAACGACTTTCTAGCGCGATATTATTTATTTCGATAGCTAGCTATTTCTTAGACTATTTATAAACATAATCGTCTTTATTAATAATCGCGCTTTTAGTAGAATATAGCGTAGTATTATAATGATTTATAGGATCTATAATAGCAACTATATAGAGGGCGTTATTAATAGAATATATTTAGAGAATAAAGAGAATAAAGAAATTTATAATTCTATATTCTTATAAAGAAATATAGGTCTATTAAAATAAAGAAGGCTAAGTAGAGTTAGCCGGCCCGGCAAGTCGGGGCTAAGGCGGGCTAGCCAATCAGAGCCCTCGGGCTGAGGCTAGGCTGATTAGCCCCGCCTCAGCCTAGCCTAGCCCCGAGGCGGGGCTATTTAAAGCGCTAATTCTTGGCGCTGCTGGCCCTGGAACTAGGGTGGTGCTACGGAGTAATTGCCACTTAACCACGGGAGCTACCGGCAAAAGGTCATCCATAACCGGACCGCAACTCCCTCACCGAGGCATACAGCCCAACCGGGTTCTCGATTCTTTCCACATACCTCAATTCCATTGCTTCCTTCGTCGCATTAGAAATCTCTTCATGCCTCGCTTACCCAGTCCTTGGTCTTTCGAAATGTCTTCCGAAATCATCGATAGAAGGCGCTTACCTCGGCCCATACGTTCCACAACCATCTACTCTCTACTTCTTCGGTGAAGACCTGATGCTATTTTCGACGACGTGCATTACTGCGTAGAAATCATCTATGACATCCAAGGACGCCTATTCATGTATCACTCGCCGCGACCATTTCACCTGAAAAGGGCCCCCTACAAGCTCCACTCTGCCGTCGAAGACTCTTGTCAATGACTTTGAACATCAGCCATGGGCTATGCAAAAAGAGATGGTTTGGTTCCTTTGGGAGTGAGGCCTATGCGGACATCGGTCGACGCTCTGAAGGACTTTGACGAAGAGATGCCGAAGTGAAAAAGCTGGTCAAAGAGGCGGGCATGGTCACAATAAGGAGCTTCGTCTACACTGGATTGCGTTATGCTGTCAGGAGCAGTCGATGTGGAGGAAAATATTTCAAGCATAGTGCACTGAGAGGATATATGTTTGAGGCGGGAATACGCGAATTGGAAAGGGATCTTGATCAGGAGGATATACACATAAATCTTGAAGACCAAATTACACATGCTGCCGCCAAGAGCCATCAATGCCCTGGTCCGCTGCCATTGAGACTTGAATGTCTTCCCATCTCTTCCGGCACAGCCATGAACATCGAGCTTCGGACAGGAGGAGTAGAAGGCGCTAGGGTATACGCTTGAGGACGTGTCGGAGCATACACATGAGGCGACGGCGAATGATATCCTCGACGGTACATAGGCGGAGGGCAGAAACAAATGGCGAGAGTTAAGGAGGAGGAAGTCGTTGCTGCTTTTGGGCGTGAGGAGGTGTGGGGGGGGGGGGGCCCTTTTTTTTTTAGAGGGGGGGGGGGGTTTTTTTCCTTTTTTGAGGGGGAGAGAGGGGCGGGCTGACCCCTGTCATGTAGAATGAGGAACGTGGGATGATGTAGCTAGTCACCCATGCTTGGTTCGGTGAGGGAGTTGCGATTGTCCTAGCGCCAAGATTTGTACCTTAAGGGTCTATTTCTGCACACGCTAATCGTCCGAACCTTGATTAGTGGAATTCTACCTCAGTCACGTTATCTAGGCAAAAGTATCTTATGATTTCGTGGGCACCTTTTAAGCAGAAGGTGCTAAACTGATGGGGCTTGGCAACCGGAAGCTAACCCGAAGAGGCCTAGCGAGCTTAGCACGTCTGAGGAACTGAGGCAACCCCCACTATCTGGTTGCTTTATGCTTACTCCTACCATCAACCCTTCAATATACACCTGCCCTTCTCCTATCAGCTTCAGCTCACTGCGGAGAGCGAAGCCTTGTCTATACATTGTATATCCTGCCCATAGGATCTCTCAAATACATTTCGCGCCTACTGAAACGTGACAATGGTCTCCGCTCACGTATTCAAGCTTTGCCAAGAGACGCCGACTGTGAGCTCCGAGTTCGCCAAAAACCCACCAGAGGCGCCTACAGAAATCGCCAAACGACTCTATGGCACCACAAAGCCTGCTACGAAGCATGACTTCCCCGGAGTCGACCGGCCCTCTGCTTCAGTTGCAGATCTCGAGCGGGCGCTGCAATGTGGGAAATGGGGTCCCTCGCCGCCAAGTGAGTTCTTCTTGAGAGTTTGGAATGATGTGCTATCTTCTCTCGACGCGGACGCCTTGGGTGGCATGGTCTCGCCGCCATTGATGGGCAGCTACGGCACCATGCCATTGACCGTCATTGCCCCACTTGCTGATATCGTCCGCCACATGTCCAATCTTATAGTAAGGGCGGAGAGGGAAGTCTTCTTGATCACTTGCTCTTGGTCGCCATCTGTTGCCGTTCACCTGGTAAGCGATGCCTTGAAGGAACTTTCTAGGAGAGCTGGTCAGCGCGGTGAGCGCGTGGTCGTCAAGGTCATGTATGATAAGGCCGGCGCTGCCCAGTTCATCAACAATCGCCAGCCAGTCAAACCAGAAGTGTACTCAGGGTAAGCTTTCTCTATGCATGAGGCAATTCCCAAAGTATTGGGGGCTAAGGGAAACCAGTGAAAAAATCCAACTGCCGAAGCCGGAAGAGATTCCGCATATCGACTTTGAAGTCATCAACTTCCACAAGCCTTTGCTCGGAACTCTCCATGCGAAGTTCATGGTCGTGGATAGGAAGGTTGCCATTATCGAAAGCAACAACATGGAAGACAACGACAACGTGGAAATGATGACACATTTTGAAGGCCCTATCGTTGATTCCATCTACGACACTGCCCTCGTTACATGGGGCAATGCTTTCAAGACCCCACCACCAAGCGCTAATGCTCCTGCTACCGCAGGCGGCCTTCCCACCAACCAAGCCAGCGAAGGCTTATTCACAGACCGAGAGCCTGCGCGAGAACAACACCAAATTGTTCTGGACGGTCAGGCGGCACAGCTCCCAGAGCATATGCCCGGCGACCCGCATTATGATTCGGACATGGCGGGTGAAATCACTCGGATGCAATCATGCTACTCGGCCAAGCCCAATGAGTCACGCCTTCAAGCCACGAACAGGCAGCTCAACCTAGCATGCACTAAGCCCATTGGCCCAACGGCGCCAGAGATACCCGACGGTGATGAGTTCACACCATATATTCCTATTTCCACTCCCACGCCTTTCCCAATCGCACTTGTCTCTCGACCTCCCTATGGAGAACCCAACAACGGAAATGTATTTGTGCCTCAGAATGAAGCTTGGCTGTCCTGCATTCGCAATGCAAGGTCCTCCGTCTTTATCCAGACACCAGATCTAAACGCCACCCAGCTCCATTCCGCTCTCACCGCCGCTCTGAAGAGAGGCATCGAGATCACCTACTATGTCTGCCTCGGCTACAATGACGCTGGTGAGATCATGCCCGGCCAGGGCGGTACCAACGAAATGTTTGCCGGCAAACTCGTAGACTCTCTCAGCGAGCCTGAGCGCAAGCTCCTTCACGTCTGTTACTACGTTGGCAAAGATCAAGACCATCCAATCCACCACAATTTCAAGGCTCGCAGCTGCCATGTGAAGTTGCTCATAGCTGACGGCCACATCGGTATCCAAGGATCGGGGAACCAGGATACACAGAGCTGGTACCACAGCCAGGAGATCAATGTCATGATCGATAGTGAGGAGATGTGTCGGAAGTGGCGAGAAGGAATTGAACGTAACCAAAACACGGCGACCTATGGGAAGGCTGGTGTAGATGACGGAGTGTGGAGAGATCAGAATGGCAAGGAGGCGGAAGGTAGCATGGGGAAGCCGAGTACAGCTATGGGGTGGGTAAAGGGCACGATGGGGATGGTAAAAAAGGCACAAGAGAAGGGCGGGTTCTGATAATTGTCAGGACGGGGTTCATGCTCCGGTATTGCGGATACATTTCGTATAATTCTTGCTTGTCCTCGCGCGTTAGCTAGTGGTAGTCAAGAAAGCGTAGAGCCATGGCCTTCTTCTGTCCGCCAGCCTCGGAACATCTGAGCAAAAGACGCTCAACAGGGAAACGTGCCTTTGGGGCTACCGCGCTACAACTGTCGATAGTTCCACTCACATCAGGAAACATGAACTCTTCGAGATCGAATAGGAAAGACTGCGAGAGTAAGTCAAAAGAATAAGGTGGCGAGGAAGACCGATCGGACAGAGGGGAAAACTCAAACCATTTTCCTTTCTTTCTCCATTCCACCTTACCCCTCCCCCATTCATCACCCATGAAGCTTTCGTGCGAATATGAATACCAACCTCTGCGCTACCTTCTTTCCTTTGTCAGTGCTTTCATGCGTATTCGATATGCCGACTACCAGTTGCAACCCAGCTCTCTCCAGCAATGCCATTGTACTAGTACAGGCAATGACCCATTCCTACTCTCTCCCTGTAGACCCTCGGGTCTATAATTTGGTGACCTAGGGATAACATGAGAGCAATGTGTCATGTAGCGTTTTGTGCACCTCATCAATGATGAATGTAAGGGTTGGGGACCGGCCTGTGACTTGTTAAAGGTCGAAAGCTGGCGGAATGCCTCGACCGAGCCTAGATTGGGGAAGCTTCTCGACCTAGACTGTCAGTACACTGAATGGTGAAATAAAAGCTCTTTACCCAGCCAGCTATTCAGAGAATTTCACACCAGATCAGAATGCAGAATAAACGGTATTCCCTTTCTCAACGATGCTCGACCAACGGCATTGCACCCAGAAGACTCTACAAAAGTCGCTCCTAGGCACACAACTACTATTCGAAAACTTCAATTAATTCGCCAAATCCAATTTCTACAGGCTTGCCAAACCGAGACTACCTTTCTTCAGCCTCCCAATCCCAATCACGACCCCATCCCTCCTCAATTCGACATCGACCTCACCAAACCCATTCTTCGCCACCGTCCACCGCGTCAAAATCCCCAACGTTTTAATCAACGAACGATACTTCGACAAAGATCGCCTATGCGTCTCAAATCGGTATCATGTCATACTCATCCGCTTGATAGCCCAGACAAGCTTGCTCCGGGCCTTTTTTCGGCGACCAGGACCATTACGGACAGCGCTGTGGTGAAGACCTTATTGCTCATCATCGGGGGACCGTTGTACGTGGGGACGACCTCGAGTTGGGGGGCATTCAAGGGCGTCGTTAGTTCCAGATTCGAACGATCGATGATGGTTGAAATGTTAGGACTAGTTGTTAAGAGCATGGCATCCGACCCGCCAGCTCCACCTGAGGCACCCCCGGCGCTCGCGTCCAAAGAGGGTTTGAAAAGCGTGGCGTTGGACATCCGTGTCCGATGCGCGAATTTGACTCTGCCCTGACAACACTGCCGCCAAGAGAGTCTGCCAGAACGGGGCGGGAAAGCCACCGGGGCGCCGCCGATCATCTCCACGGTCGTCTGCAGGCCGTAAAACTACACTGTACGCGAGTGGAGACGATGTCGATATAGACGTCGTATTGGGACAGCGATCAAGTGTAGAGGGGCGTCGAGGGCAACTCTGCGCTTTGGTCCATGAAGGCCAGGTCTTCCATGGCGGCCGCGACGGCGTTTTGGGAGACAGCGATTTCGGCCGGCAGTGCGGCTTACAATGCGTTGCAGTTGGAAGCCGGATCGGACTGCAATGATGGATCGATTTGGGGAAGTGCAGGAGTGTTACTGTTATCGTGTGCAGTGGAGCATCTTTCTCTGAACATGAAAGTCAATCACTACCTACTCAGAAGGGCCAGCGGTGAAGTCTCCGACGAGTTGAAGATAAGGCCATCGCACACTGCCCAGTGTAGGAAGAGACCGGCTGATGAGCATAGCCGGAACATGTTCATGAATGTATTATTACAGTTATGGCTGCTCTAGCCACACCAATAGATTGAGCAAGCCCTAAATATTCTGGTGATGAAGGAGGTGAGAAAAGCCAAAAGGAGGTTAGGAGATATAAAGGTAGCTTCGTCGGAAACAGGTGTTCATGTACAGGCGGCTAGGCGTAGCAATCATTGAGTCATTTACGACAAGCGGACCTATTACGATATATGCAAACGTGGTAAGTAAATTCTTGTTTTCGGCCGACAGGCGCTATCCCCGTGCAGGTGAGGGCCTTCATCGCATCTAATAAGTTCAGTGCCACCTTAGTGCAAACACTGGAGAGAAGAAAGGCTGGAAGTGAGACACTCTGAAACCCTGGTGGATGTGTTCTTGAAAAACCACCCAAGCTATCTCAAAGCGCGGAGGACGAGGACCGGCGTCTACGTTTGTTCTGACTGCCCGCCTCAATAGTTTTTTCACCGCCTGCATGCTTGCGCGTTCGCTTGATTTTTCCCTTGCTTGTGTACTCATAATCTAAGTTGGGTTAGCGAACATCTCTGCACAGAAAAAATGAATCATAAACGTACCCTTGTCATTATACAACCTGTGCAATAGCTCATCCAAGGCATCATAGTTGCGAACTGCATGGTCTTTGGGGGCAAGAGTCCCACGGTCTTGACGCGCCAACATGTCATCAGCCTGAACACGCTCTTGATGTGTTGGCTCCCTCCACCTATAGGGAATGCACGCGCTGAGGTCGAATTGTGATGAGTAAAAGCCATCATCATCAACGTTATCATGTATAGTCTGGTAGTACCATTTTTCGAATGCATTGCTCGTCGGCTCTTGGTAAAGTTCCCAGGTGCGGAAGTAGATCGAGGTATCAATGTGCTTGCAGAACAGTCTGAAGTGCATTGGAATGATGTCCCTTATCTCCCAGTGCTGAATGTCGTCCGCGGAAGCCTTGCCTCGTGAAGGCATTATACAGAATTCGAAGCGTATCAGCTTAGGCATGTTTAGAATAGCTCTCCAGCACTGTCGCATGAGCTGAGTCCGGTTTCCTGATCTTGTAGTTCTATCGTTGCCGGCGTCCGATACCAAGTCGACCCAATCCGCCTTGCGTAAAGCTTGTCCATCTACTCCGTCCCCGATGAAATTCGGATCTTCATCCATGTAGAGAAGGAGCATCTTTATGTACTTGCCGGGCTCCACTACAAGCGAGAAAGGGCAGCTCTGGAGGAAAGTACAAAGCACTTTGGCGTCAACACCAAACATGATTTTCGACTGGTAAAGTGCTTCCGCAGCGGCGGCAGCAACACCCGATCCTACGACGGCAGCATCGAGGCACCAAACAGCCCCCGAGTAATCGCGCTCATGGTATTTGTCGGTAAACTTGTATCTGATCCCTTCTGCCGTGTCCTCCACTCTGATGACCTCTCGGCACCCGGACTGGGCAAAGACAAGGTGAAAGATCTTGAGGCGAACTTCATGTGGAAGACGAGAGAGCATACTGGCGGCGACGCGCTCAAAAGCTGAATTTAAAGATGGCTCAACACGAGGTAACAAAGGAGAGTCCTCTTCACATATGTGCAGTGAAAGAAAGGAGTGTTGCGGTTTCTAGCGCCAAGGCGCGCGTCCTGTGCGCTAGTCCACTTAGGTATAGAGGATACGCTAAGGTGGCCCGTTTATCGTGGTAAGTCTTACGAAGAGCCTCCTCTTCCCTACACTCTGTCAGTCAACCACTTCATTCACCAAACTGACTTAACCAGCCTAACAGTATCTGCTCATGTACATCCACAAGTTTTTTGTAATACGAACCTCCTGAATCTCTCAGGAGAATTGGAGTACCAGAACCGACACGTGCAGGATCTTTCGTGTTTGGTAATCATACACCGGCCAAAACCCTCGAGCGCTCTCTCCATCTTGATTTTCTTCCCAGAGATCTTCACCCTTCCGCCATTAGCATGCATCGAAAACCCTTGTTCTTCGAAGAGAAGACTCATCCCACTTAAGTACTCGAGAATGGAAATTTGGCTCTCAGACTCGCCGGCAGCTACTTCCCTCGAAACCAGATACCCGCCTTGCATTTGCGTCAAAAATTCTCTGTCTGGTAGACAGACCGACTCCCAGCCGTGGCCGTGAATGTATCCAAGGCTCATGTCGTCTACCCTTGCTCCAGCTTCGATCTGGATTATAATTCTCGGCAGGAAATCAAGCGGAACGAATCCTGGCCAGCAGCAATCATCCTCACTAAGTTTATCCAGCTTGAACTGAGCTGGAACGAGGCGATTCAGGCTGTGAAGGGACTTTTCTTCCATCAACAGCGCAAAGACTTGATCGCGACGATCAAGGCCAAGTGGCCGGTCATCGTGCCATATCTTAGCCCTGTGCATCTTCGGGTGGTTCTTGAGCCGTCTGTCCGCATGACCGTACGGATCCAGTCGCCACGCGGAAGGTGCCAGAACGTCCAGACTTTGGATGCGGCTTCTTGCTCGTGGTCCGATCGTCAGGAGGAAGCGGTACACGCCTCTCCAGTAGTCGCCGTTCGAGAACCGCCATGTGTTGTTTCGCCACAAGTAGTCAGCTGCTTCAGTGTAATCTTGCACACATGTACCCAGCAAGCCGGTGGGAAGCTCTTTGCGGACGTGGAGGAGATGTATTTGGAGGCGGAATTCGACGATGCTTCGGCGGTTATAGCGTGGGAGATGGTCCCGGTTTTGTGTTCGAGAGCGCAGAACTTCTCGTATCGATGCTGCTTAACGGCATCTGGTCTGAACCGCATACTCTCCATATAAGGTTTACCTTACTTACCGAAGTCACGTCGTGGTATACACACGGACACGGAACCTACTTCGTGATTGTTACGTCCTGTCTGTGTAGCTGCTGGAAGGAGTTGCTGACCAAGGAAGAAAGGTATGATTTGAGGGTCGGAAGTGACTAATCGACGGGAGAATAGTAAGGAATACCCACGTCCTTCGACATTTTGATATCGATTCTCGTGAGTCGGAACTTATGACGTTTCAATGATGTAACATTGTGGGGTTCTGCCAAGATGTTACAACCATTTTGCCAAGACATGGGCCAGCAACGGAGTACGGGAGCCTTGACTGGGAATTAAGATGATGCTTTACTTTCCTATTCTACCAGGGAGATGAGTATGGGAGAACACGAAACATCGTTGCGGCGCATACTCTGGACGTGACAATCACGGCCCGAGGATAATGCAAGAGGCCGAACAAGCGTACATCATTTGATCCTCAGAAAGCTCTTGCATTGAAGCGACAGTCTTCGCTGTCCAGAGCTAGAGCCTAAGATCGAAAAGAGTGCGGTGGATAAGGATCGAAGGACAAGCCGAATGCGGGCGTGCCGCAAGCCCAACAAAAGACCTCAAGCACTGACTCGAGATCAGTCTCATAAATTACTGACCGACGAACTCGCCCTACTATAAGTCTTGTGCGGATCGAACACGTGTGTCGGAGGAATTTTGCCCCGACCCTGCTATGCGACAACATCGCGCGTATTCCAGGTGCGCTTGTAGGTACGCTGTTTGACGAAGATCCTGTGACACGATGAAACGACTAACGATTCGTTGGTGTCGTTTCTTCCCCACGGGGACTGGACAGCCGCCACGAAAGACTTTCTGCACTATCATTGCGAGAGAAGTGGATCTCATCTCGTTGCTTCTAAGGGACATGAGGAACCCGAGAGCCATCAGTCACCTCTGATGCACGCACGCCCTTTCTTCGCGGGGAAAGAATGTTATTCAATACTTACCTCTTTCTTTCACTATCCGCGATACTCGCCCCCATCGCTTTCTCCTCCCCAACAATCCAATTGCCAAGCCTCACCCCCAACCAATCAATCACACAACCAACCAACCTCACCTCAACCTCCAACGACAATCTCCACTGCATCGACCTCCTCAACCCATTCTCCCGCCGACCGAAATACTCCGACTGCACTTGTGCAATCCGCCAGCTCCCCCGCTTCCCCGCTACCGGCGCATTCCACAACCAGGGCGACGACGACCCTTTCAAGCTGCCTGTGGAGTCGACATTCAGCAGTTGCACAGTCAGAGTGGAACTCCTTGCTGCTAGCTCCACGGTGGCCGCGTCCTGGCCCGGCATCAGCACCAGAGCGAACACACTGAATCGGTGTTGTCTGCGGACGACTTTCCCGATATACAAAGGGGGCTGGGCGACGTATGCGAAGGATGAGCGGATTGTGATCTCTTTGGGTAAATCTGATAGGTATGGTGGGGGAGGCAGTGTAGATAGTGCGAGATGATGTGGATGTTGCGGCGACAGGATGTAGGGATATGTGCCTGACAATGCAAAAATGACTGTTGGCCCTTCAGTGACCGATCATAAAACCCTGTTATATCTCATACCAAGGTGTTGCTATGCTCTAACCCATGTCGCGAGCACCCTTCAAGACACTACCGAAGACATCAAATTAATGACCGAACACACGTCAATCATTTTAAAAAATTATAGGTCCTGTAACATTTTTGAGGGCAACGGCCATATCCAGATACCACGCGCGAGGAGCACCCAGAAAGCACTGACTTTGTTTGCAGGCCACTCACGATCTCACCAGTTTTAGTAAAAGAAAAGCCTTGCATGATTCCCTGCACCTTTCCCGTCGCTGAAAGCCCGCTCGAGGTCCCAGCTACCCACTTCCCTGCTCTGAGCCACCTGTACCCCGAAGGTTGACAGCCATGCTGGATGCAAGAAAACGTTGAAAGAATAGTCGAGTACGGCATCAAGCTACTGACAAGCGCTATCGGCGGCATTTCCAATAGCAATACCAAAAAGTAGACGACAATAAGACCACTCACATCTGTCTTGGACTACAAGAACCGAATCTCTCTTTCTAGCTCGGTAGACTGTAGATGGGTCTAACGATGAAGCTTCAACAGCAATCCCGCGCTGTTATGAAAAAATTCATTTCTGCTCCGCCATAGCGACATAGTAGGCAAAGACCACCACGAATGGCAAGCAAGAATGGAACGAAACAGATTGAAGGGCCATCAAAAGAAGTTGAATTCGGTATGACAGGTTGAATTTCCCTCAAGCCCTAAGTGTGTACAGGAAGAACGTCTAGCTCTCAAGTCACAGCATCACCGCCACCATTATGGCTGTGAAAACCACCAGCACTGACCCCGTCCTGCTTTACAGGACTACCCTTCAAATTTCCACCCCAATGTTACTCCACTCCACCGTATAATAGCCTGCAGTTAATATCCCGTTATCTCCCATTCCCCGTCAAACTCTCGTCTCTGATGTTCTTCCCCATTTCTCGCAACCCACAACGTAGCCAGCGCTGAAGGATGCTTCAAAGGATGCTGAATAGCTGGGTGTTGAAAACGCTCCGAGTCGCGAATGCCAAATAAGAAAACAATTTTCAAGACCCCTCTGACGCCGCTATTATTCCCAAAAGGTACTGCTGCGCGATATTGCGAAAACGACCATATGAACCATTGTGAGCGATGGCGAGGACGAGACCCTCAAGGGTACTCATCCGGATAATGGCCTCGCAGGAGCGGCCCCGCGTCATGGTCATTGCCGAATGCCGACCACGCGGGATCCCAGCTTGTAATATTGCCAACGACCAGACTATCATCCGGCGGGGTCTGTGCAACCGGCGGGGCGTTACCACCTTGCACGGGATCAACGGGAACGTTGTAAGGTATATGAGCCTGCGCTGCTTGAGGTCGACTATGCGGGTCCAGTAAGTCAGCCACGAAGACGGTTTGGAGCTCTTCCTCTCTGAATCGCGGTGGCGGCGGCATGACATCCTCTGGAGTGCCGCTCTCGTTCTCGACCCCAGCACGTGGTGCCATCAGTCGCTGGTAGTAGTTGTCGATTTCTCGCTGCTGAGCGCGAGTGTACATGCTTCCGACGTGATTAGCGTCGGGCCGACCATCCAGCATCCCATTGAACAACTCGTCGCTAAAGAACGGATCGTCCCGGACAGTGCTCGCGGTAGGTTGCTGATAGGCTCGCCGAGGCGCTGTATACGCGTCGATGCGAGCTGACTCCACGGGATTCGACTGGTCCCCACAGTCGTGCGAGTTGTAGCCTTCCAGAGCATTGTCTGGGACGTGGGCTGGCGCATCACCTGAGATTTCTTCAACGGTGGAGTTCAGGACTGAGCTGAATCTCTCGCTACCTGCCTGACGCTGACGACGTGACGAGGGCCGAGGTTGAAGCTCTCCAGTGTTCGTGTAAGTGTTTGCGTTTCCCATGTCAATTTCCTGCTGGGACTGGTAAGGTTGAAGACCGGGTCGCGGTTGTTCAACATCAGAATGAAAGATCCCATCGCCCAAGCCATTACGTTGCTGAGAAGGCTGCTGTGGTTGTTGAGAGTCTATCTGAAAATTGTATATATTGTACTCCTCATCACCTGTAACCATGTCTGGCTGAGGGTAGTAAGGAGTAGTCTTTTTGTGCGTGGCCTTCGGAGCAGGACGTCTTAAGCGATCATTGTGTAGCCTCTGAACGGCTGATCCGATAGGGCGAGTAGTAGGACGACGGTATGTGTTTGCCAAGGCGCCTTGGCGATGGTATTCTCCCGAAGGTCCAGGTTGCGGTTCGTCAAAGCCGCTATAGGTAGGTCGGTGAGTCTCCGAAAGCGGTTGATTGCCTGATACAGCAGCAACTCCTCTCTTCGTCCGCTTTGCTCTCCGATTATGCATCTCCTCCACTTCATCATCGTCACTGATGTCCCCTCTCGCTCTCTTTAGACCCGACTTGAGCTCAGCCTCATTGCTTTGCATGACTGACATAAGCTCAATCAAGGACATCCTCCCATCCAAGCACATCTGCGTTCGGATACGGTCTTGCTCCAGGTATCTTTCCAGTTCGCGGCGCTCATTGGCTGTCAACTTTTTCATCCTGGGGTCTTCTTCGGCCAAGGGCATTTCCACGTCATCTTCAGCATCCCCATAACCCTCGTCGTTCTCTTTATCTTCTTCGTCTTCATCACGATCCTTCTCATCGACCCCATCACTCCCCTCACTAGAGGATGAGTAGGGCACTAGCCGGATGTTCTGCTGACCTGTTGAGGCTCCCACGTGGGAGGTCACTGTCTGGATATAATTGCCAGACAAAGAACCTGCATGTTTTTCGCGATGTTGAGAGTACTGGTTGGCGGTGGCTTCAGCATACGGCGTATTGTTTGGAACATGTTGCGTATATTCATCTGCCACCTGTGCTGCTGATGGCTGTTTGTGTTGGGTCACCCCTTCCGCAGCATTGGAAGCCTTCCGACCTCCCATGATCGGAAGAGTCGCTTTATACGAAGGACCAGCGTTTGAGGCTCTAGATGAGTAGGGTTGAGGAGATGTGTGCGCGGCGTACGACGTCGAGGAATGGTACTCTTGGGGATCGACCATCGTAGGTTTTGTATCCGCGCTTCGTCGGCGATTTGGGAAGAATACAGATGATGCTGAGGGATGGGTAGCAGAATTTGACTGCACGTTTGGCTGGTCGCTTCTGGAACCATCCTGGGATCTCGATGGTTGGTTTTGCGCCAAGATGACAGTAGCGGAACCTGCATCTGTGTTTGGGTAATTTTGTCGCAAAGGTGCGTTCAAAGGACCCGCGTGTGCAGTCTGAACCTGTGGCTGCTGTATTTGAGAGGCCGTGGTTCCAGCGTTGGCAGTTCCCCGAGCCCTCCTACCAGGGACTGGAATCACTCTTCCTTGGCTATCTCTAGAGCCAGGAGTGATTCCTCTCGTGGTTCCAAGTCCGCCCCTCGCAGCGAGTTGAGCTGGGGTAAGCCCACTGAGAACACGGTCCCGGACAGCGTTACTAATCCCAGCAGTGTCCCTCCAGGAGACCATTGAAAACCTCTCCCGCGCTCTCCCCATCCTCTGCTGGAGCGTGTTCCGGAAGATCTTCTCATCCTCACGTCTTCCTCCAGGGTATTTGATCCTCATCAGGATGTCCTTCCAGTCGAGCCTCCCATCCATTCTCATCAACAGTTCAATGAACCATGCTGGGACCTCTGAGCTTATCTAGAACGTGTTGGTAAAGGAGCCAGAGGGTCTTTCTGGAAAGGAGTCTTACCGTATCAAGGTTCTTTAAGATTGGGAAGTCCAGCAGCGGCCGAGGTGCCCAGTCCCTTGGCGTTCGTTCGAACATCAAGTTGCCGTTTGCGTCGATTTTCTGGGGTGGCTTCGCGCTCTTCGCATGGTCCCACCACTCCTTGCTGGGCCAGAGGTGGTAGAATACCTACAGAGATGTAAGCAAGGTTCTGAAGCATGTATGGGATTTGCTTACCTCTGGCAGGTTGTTCACATTGAATCCAGCAAGTCTTTCAAACATTAGCCAGGCTGTCCTGTCATCCTGATGATATGTCATGACTTACCCTACGGAGAATTGGGTTCGATCCGTTAGCGAAGATCCGTGGTGATGCGGTGGACCTAGAGCACGGTCAGTCCTAAGTCTTTGGTGGTAACGGGTATTGTACTGACTATATGATGTTGGGTCTCCAGACCGGCTGATGGTACGGCATACCTCGACGTAATCAGGATGTTGAGTCCATGGTAGTCCGTTGTTCTCAGATACTCTCAGCTTCAAGTGCTGAGGAGCAGCCATGGTTGGCAGTGATGAGACAATAGTGAACTGTTGTGTACTGCGGTAACGAGAGTAAAATCCTATGGAAGGTTCAAGAGGAGTCAGTGTCTACAATCCTAAGTGCTATGATAGTATCAAGCGGAGTTGAAGTATGCAGGAGTGAACGATGGTGAGGAAGAGTGGAATTTAAATACTAGAGAAACGCAAGAATGCTGTGTCAACGGGTAAACAGTTGGGGGACGACGCTGTGTTGGACAGAAGTGAATGAAAACAACAACAACGAAATTCTCCCTCACCATTGGTGGAAGCTCCGATCTCAACACTAGATTGTTGGTGCAGAGGTGTTGTTTGAAAACAAGCATGTCATGACAGCGCGAGAGAAGCCCGTAAAGAAGATACGATCTTCAAGGGCTCCCAGCAACAGTATACCACCAACATCGAAAAGAGAGAAGCTGCTATTTTTATATATGTAGGGAATCAAAGAGGACAGGAGAAGTCAGAATGGACAAGAAGACGGTTCTTATAGTCTGGACACTACACCGTATAGGCCCGGCCCGGCCCCAGAACGGCCATCGCCCACGGGAGAAAGGTGCAACAACAGACCTTCTCTACAACATCAGGTCAAGTTGACGGTCAGTATTTAAAGGCATCAGTGAGTCCGTCAACAGTCAATTCACTGCTCTGGGTGAGGGATCCACTCTTACCTTCCGCATCACTTCTGTCAGTGAGCCCATATCCACTACAGTATTCATTTAAGTCAACTTCCCCAGTCCGGCGTCAATTGTCCGGATGTTTTCTGAGCACTCTCCGTCCATTTTGACTAGCCTCCCGCTATCTAACCCCGAACTCGATATTTTGTGGGTGCTGAAGAATCCACTAAAGCCTCCCTATGAATACGAGTCAAGGCTGTATTCCAGACGTAGGACCTTTTGTGCTGGCGGTTCGAGGAGGAAAGCAGTTTGTAGCAGTTTGTTCCCATTCTTGAATCTTGACCCCAGTATCCACCAGTTTCGGCAGGCCATTCTGGTCTTATACAAAGCGTGCAGAGACAACCCCGCATACAGTAACCTGGGGCCTCAGGTTCCGCCAACTCAAATATCCAGTAGAGGTCTTACCTGCAGCCTCCCTGCTACTCAGCCCTCACGACCGCATGGAATAGCCTATCCGAGAAAGAAAACGTCTTCACGGACGGCAACATGCTCAAAAAGTGACATTTTCTAACAAAGCATGAGTACGATCTTCTCGACCAAAAGCCCTGGGAAAGCAATGATAGTGGATCGTCCGGTGAATACACAGCGCTTTGGTGGCAAAGAAGGGTGGGTAGACGATTTATTCCAAGCGCATTTTGGACTTTACGCTAATTCTGGCGGAGGTGGATTGGAAGTGCTCCACCGTAGTCGCATCCCAATCTCTCGTTGGAAAGACTTGAAATGCTTCGGCGGAGGTGCTGCGGATACGGTACGCAGCAGCTCTGGCGGTAGCAATGAGAGGCTAATCGTGTCTACCCCCATTTGCGCCCATTTTAAATCCGATAATTCCAACGTCTACTATATCAAGCCTATAGACGGCGACTATAGTACCGTAGCATTAGCCATTATAAAAGACTATGGTAGTAGGCTATTTGAATAAGTAATAGTGATAGCTATGATAGTGGTAGCCGTGGTAGTGGTAGCTATCTATGTCGGATTTATCGGATTTAAAATGGGCGCAAATGGGGGTAGACACGATTACTGATCTTTCTTCGAGCCATCCACGCTCACAGACATGGTAGTCTATGGCCAACCTTTGTAGAAAGCAAGCGCTTGTTACGGTGATTGAAGCAGCCCGACCGTTTTCTGATTGCTGCGATACTGTTGTGGTTCGTAATTTTGCAGACAGTCAATGAAGAGCGCTGATGTCCATAATGCAGTCATCCAATGGTCAAGGGTGGCCAGCTCTGGTTTGAGCCAAGCCGAGCAGTACCTGTATGTTGACCTTGTCGATCTTGTGTTGCACTGAAAAGGCGGAGAATTTACTTCTCTCCCAAGATGTGTTTGGACTTGGAGAACGGGGTCCGAACGTTGGCGCAGTCACCCGTGCCGTTGTGGCGCGTGTATTAGCGTATGCACTAAGGTCCGGAAGGCTTGCCGCTGACAAGAATAGATTATTAATGACTTTATCGTCTCCAATATCGAAATCTACTTCGTTACTACCTTCGTAACAAGTAAAACTCCTATATACATTGCTTAGCCATTTCTTCATTATTTTCTTCTATCAATCCCACATAGCTCCTATTCAACATCCATTGTATACCATCCTTACTTTACTCAATAAGCGATTTCCCACAGTAAGTCTGCATTCCTTTTCATCTCTTAATCGCGCTTCTCCCTTCAAGCAACTCAACATGTTGTATTCTCAGAAGAACACAACAGATCCGGAGCTCAGTGCCACCTCCTTGTTCTATAATGAAAGCACACAGGCCACCCATACGCCAGTATTATCTTATCTCAACCGCTCCATCCTCTCTACTGTAGCCCGTCTGTGCGATCCCAAATAAAGATCATCAAACAATTGAAGCCAGCGAGACAACTGCGGCTCTGCGCTTTGCTATGGATGGATTCGTTTCGCCTTTCGCGGGAAGCAGGTACTAAGGCTACCCGACTAACCGCAAAAGCGATTTAGCGGCCAAATCATTGACGCCAAGTCAAGATCCTGACACGCTGACAATGACCGGGGGGAAAAACAAGGAACGAGCTCTAAACTGCTGTCTTTAAATAGTGCCCGAGGTCCCCCGCTGGCTAGACATTCAATCTTGCAAACCGACCTGACCGGAGTGCAAACCAAAGCCTTAATTAAACCGTCGCCGCCATGTATATCTCCAGCCTGACCATCTTCGCCCTCGCCATCGTTACCATCCATGCCTGCAACCCCGGCACCGACGGGTGCGACCATCCTGGAAACTTCACCGGGACACGTGAGCCATTCATTCTCCACTCCCACCCGACCGAGAAAATTAGCTGACGACAGAAAAAAAAAACAGTAACCGCACTCAAGGACCCCGCGGCCGCATACTGCAATCCCGGCAACCAGACGTCCATCTACGCCAGCATCCCCGCCTCCTTCTACAACCCGCCCGAGTGAGTCCGCCACACCCTACCCACCCCACCGGGCCGCTTGTCTTTCCCACCCAAGCGGCGGCGACTAACTCCCGCCAGCGAGTCCCCCTGCGACGCACCCATCAACGTCACGAACCCGAGCACGAAGAAGACGATCGAAGCGATCGTGATCGGGGAATGCACGACCTGCGCCGGGGACAACATCCAGCTGACGACGGCAGGATTGGAGGCGTTGTCGCCGAGTAAGTGAACGCCTTGTTCCCAAAGAAGATTGATTTCCTCGAGGTGCGGAGCGGAAGCTGATGGCATGGCAGATGGGAAAGCCAACAAGGCGCCCACGACGGTCAAATGGACTTTTATCTAGGCCACTTCGGTCCTGCGCCGAGAGGAGGAATGATGGGAGCAAAAAGCATGAAATAGTTTCCGGTCATGATCTGGACGAAGCGATGGTAGGGAGTTTCACGGGATATGGACAAAGATTGAAAGCGTCGGCATTGGCGGGACACGGCGAGAATATATATATGTAATGTACATGGAGATATGACAACCGGAAACGTCATGTCCAATCCAAGAAACCGAGTACAAGGACAGGGCCCACGCGATTGCAAGACCGAGACCGCACAGTCCTTCCGCGTGTAGAGAAACCCGATACCGCTCACCAGCAAACCCTACTTTCTGTTAACAATCTCGCACTGTCTACACCCGACCAGAACCCCCACCAATCTCCCCGCCACCCCTCCCTCCCAACACGCCACCACACCACCTCCAGAACCACGAAAACTCAAATCGCACCAAGAGCACAAGCCTCCAGGAAGCTTTCATTTCACATCACATCACCTCATCCCGCAGCAGCGAACATCCCAACCCCAACCCATCCATCAAACGACTCCATCAATCTCCCCCCGCCCCACCCAAACACAAACATACCCCCAACCATCCCCACAACAAACCAACTCCACACGACCCACTCCCCAAACCTTCCCCTCCCCCCCTCCCTTCCCCCCCCCCCCCCCAATCTTCCCCATTTCCCCTAACAGCCCCCGACCCCCTACACCAACCCCATCTCAAACCCCCCCCTCGAGCCCATCGAAACCCATCCGCCAGCGATCCCACACATGGGCGCCAACTGCCCGGACTGGGACGGGGGGGGTGGGGGGGACGGTGAGGGAGTGTGCTTTGACGATGGAAGCGGATGATGTCTGAGCGGAGAGGTTGGCGGGTAGAGGATGAGGAGATGGGTTCGTGGGAGGTGAGTTAGTGGTGTAGATGGCTGATGGAAGAGGTGTGGAGGGGGGAGGGAGGGAGGGAGGGAGGGAGGGAGGGAGGGAGGGAGGGAGGGAGGGAGGGAGGGAGGGAGGGAGGGGGGAGGGAGGGAGGGAGGGGAGGATTGGCAGGCGACTGCTGGGTGAGTTGCGATGAGGCGTTGGCGGCTTGGTCTTCACTGTCGCTGGCAGACTGACGGGGTTGGATCGAAGTTTGGGATGGTTGATGATTCTTCAGCTCGATGAAAGATTTCCTGGCTTAGACCCGGCTGTTATCGGGATATCGATGGCAAGCTATTCTAATCCGCTCTGCCTCTTCCTCCTTACGGCCTTCACGTCGGAATGATAACGGCGGCGGAAAATGTCCGAGTTACCCGGTCAGATTGCTTACCGCATCGCCTCTGCTTTCTCGACGATCCCTTCGATCAACTTCTTGAACTCCGCCCTCTCCTCCAGAGGCAAATAATGTCCCCTGCCCTCAAAGATCCTCTTCGTCACACCCATCTCCTCTCCTCCCAATTCCTTCGCCAGAATCTCCCCGTGCGGGACCGTGATCAGATTGTCCGTGGTGCCGTGTATCACTAGAATCCTCTCCCTACCCACCTTCTCCGCAATCTCCGTCAGCTGCTCCGGACTCTTCTTGTGCCACCCTGCGGCCAAAGCTTGGCAGATGAAGCCCTTGCGCGTGAAGCCTTCGGTATCTTGGCGCTTCGTGAGTTCCTGAGCCGCGAACCGGTCGCCGTTGGTTGGATAATCGCCGTCCTGGTCCGGCTGCGAAAGCCATGAATCGCTGACACGTGTCTTGACCTCTGCGATTTGCTTGTCGAGAGACTTGGGGATGCTACGACCGTCAACATCGAGATTCAGCGCCCGTTCAGATGTTCCTTACAAGATGTTGATGCGATCCCGTAGGTTTTCGAAGTAGCCCTTTTCTTTGTCAGTAAAACTCCCCGCTCAGCTCACCGGCTCTCGGAACGTACAATGGTATTCTTAAGTTGCGCTGCTGTTGATACGAGGGAAAGACTGGCCATTCTTTCAGGGTCCAGACATGCCTAGGTTCCCGTCAACACCGCTTCCAACGCTCCGCTCGCGGGTCTGTACCATCTCCTGGGCTATCATACCGCCCATGCTGATACCGATGACATGGACGGATCTTTCGCCAATCCAGCCAAGGTGATCGAGCAGGTCAAAGGTATCCTTGGCCATCTCGGACGTCGAATACCGCATGACCGGCTTGTCGCTTTCGCCCATACCGCGGTTATCGAAAATGAGACATGAGTACTTGGAAGGCTGGTCATGACCGAAATCTACGGTCTGTCGTTGCCAGTACCATTTGAAGGCGCCAAGACCCATGATCCACTGGCTTCATCCCTCAGCCTTGGACACACTTCAATTTTTTTGCTCGTAGCCCGATCCATTCTACCGTATCTTGGATGCGACTTACTACTAGCTTTACAGGCCCAGCGCCATGGATCTCATATGCGATATCGATGGGACCCCCTCTCCCGTGCGCAACAGCACATCTTCCCTTCTCCGTTGGCTTGAGATCCCAGATGACAGTGTTGAAAGCCGGATGTTCAACGACTTCGGCAGCAGTAAGAGACATGTCTCGTCTTTCAAGGAGACACGCCGTCAAGCGTCGCTTCGACGTTTCAGAGATCAGCAGGGTGTTGAAGCTGAAGATAACGGAGTAAGATAGTGGGTGGGTGCACGGACCGCCGAGATTGGGCACCATGCGGGGGGTCTCCCGTGATTATGCTCCGAAATTCTTGGCTGTGAACACGGGCGTTTATGATTGATCGCATGTTAAACAAGCCATTCCTTGTTGCATATATGAGAAGACCTATCGAATACCTTGTCCATCGTAAGCGACCCAAACATGTAAACAGCGTGCCACACTTCTTTTACTTTAGTGTTTCGTGTGGCTCATATGCATACTTTATGCAGTTGCGCCAGCTAAAAAGGTAATAACCCCTGTCAGTATGGGTTGCCGTACTTAGTAATCATGATATCTCGGTACCCGGCGGGCATGCCCGAATCAAGGTTACTCCCCGAGCTGCCCCGAAGAAGAGCGGGCGGGGCCCCCGAACACGCACCCAATCAAAAGTGCAGCTGTGCCGACACGAAACAACGGCGCAGCTTGGGATTTATTCCCCCGCTCCATCATCCGCCACAGGAACACCCTGAAGACGTGCATGCTCAATGTGAAACCATACTACCTATACAATATCAGCACATATTAAATCGCAGATTAAACACACGGAGGAGGCTGAGATGATGATCACTCTACAAAGGGCTGGGCTTACGCTCGCCTGCCTTTCTTCTCTCTCTGCTGTCCATTCAACGTTCTCCTTCTACCTGCGTCTGCGATTACTGAACGCATAGAATCCCCAGCTGGTCTGCGATTCGACCTCTGTCCCTCTCACCACTAACCCATCTACCAAAATGCTCGTCCTCAACATCGCGCTGCTTGCCCTGAGGTGAGTGACTCACAATCCCTCAGGCGCAACCCCCCTCCTCTCCCACCCCACCCCCCGAACTGACCCACCAACCCCACCAGCGCCCTCCCCACCGCCCTCACCAAAGCCCCACCTCACCACCTAACCCACCCCCACACCGCCAGCAGCACCTTCTCAACCCACCCCGCCAGCAGCACCTTCTCCACCCACCCCCCCGCCACCAACGCCACAACGCCCCTGACGTCCACCCGCCCCATCGCCGGCACCGGCTGCCCCACCGTCACGAAGACGGTCGCCAAGACCGTCGGCGTGTGCGAGGAGATCCGATGCCTGCCCGTGCTGGTGGGCGGCACGACGCCGGTCGCGACGTCCACGTTCGCCGTCGGCTGCGCGTGCCCGGCCGCGACGCCGACGGTGACGCTGAGCCGGTGCGATTTGGGGTGTGAGGGGTTGACGGCGTGGGTGTATGAGACGGCGGGGGGGATAAGAGGGGGATGTAGGGCATGAGATGGGATGGGATGAGAGAGGGGGGTTGGGGGCGAAATGGGATGAGTGGAAAGCGGGAGACTGACTGACTGACTGTTCATTCGTTGTATATATCTAAGGATTTTGTTGGATGAGATTAGATATCTATAGGGCAAGAGGGCCTTGTCGAGCTGGTTCTTGGGATGCTAGGCAGTCGCTACCGCCAGTACGGAACCAAAAAGAAATGGGAATACTAAGCCGTTCGACCTGCTCTTGCTCGCTCTTGCTCTTGCTGCTCTTGCTCGCTGATGTTTATGTCGCTCGTCTTGGCCTTGTGTGTCCGTTATTCGTCAAAGTGTCAAACACTCCACACTCACTCACATTCACGAAAATGAAAAATATCTGGACTCTTGTGCTCAATCGGTTGTTTTTTTAGCTGCACCTCTACATCCATGTTACAGCCTTAGACCTGCGAAACGATTCTAACACACACAGAAGCAAGCAGCAAGATCTTCTTTCCCCTTGACCGTATCCTACATCGCAGCTACAGTACTTACCCCCAACGGGAAACCAGACCAGCAACAAACACCGTGCGCACGGCTTCAGGCTCGCGACCTACAACCAGCTATCGACCACCTAGATGCCAGCGCAAGGATTCGAATTGACGGCATCTTTCAGGTTCTGCGGGATCGCACCCGCCGTCACGGCCGCTGCCCACGTCTTTAGCCCGATTCCAGAGGCCCCAACTCGAAGGAAACTCACCTTGATACGACCACCTCCAATCATTCCTCCCCGCGATATAATCCACCTTCCAGCTCCAGAAGATCCAGCCGTCCTGCTTCTCGTACGCCTGGATCTGCGCCGCGAACCACTTGGCATACCAGCCGACGTGGCTATCCGGCGGGGCGAACTCGGAACTGTTCCACTCGAGGTCGTCGGCGACGCTGAGGCTGAACTCGCCGACCACGGTGGGCCAGTTGCCGCCGCGGTCGTCGTGGCAGGATTCCTTGAGGTAGGCGGCAGGGGTTCGGCCGGTGCCGGGGTCGTTGATGCCGTTGTCGTCGGAATATTTGAGGTAGCGGTGGTCGTCGTAGGCGGCGAAGGTGTCGTCGGTGAGGTGTTGGTGCGGGTCGCCGGAGCCCCATTTTGCGTTCTACGTTTCGTATCCATCAATCAGTATTCTTTGATCGGGTGTGGGACTCCCTTACCATCATCTGGATATGCAGAAGGTTGTTCGGGCTGATTTTGAGGGCAGCTTCTGCGGCTCGGATGCGCGCCCATGCGGTGGGGTAGAACGTTTGCCTCATGGAATCCGTTTCGCTGTTGCTGCCTTGGACGGGCTGGCTGAGGATTTCCAGCATGCCGACATTCCTGTAACTCTTGTCCGTGTGGATGATGTTTGCCATCCATTCGAGGAACTTGTACGCGCGCTCGTACTGGTAGTCAACGTAGAAGCCTGGCGTCGAAGCAATCTGGAAGTTGGTCAATTACTGTCCGTCTCCACATCTCTCTGCCAAACATACCTGTCCGGTATCTGCATTCCGAGCAACCTGGGCTCCCGGCGCACCATGCAAATCAATAATGATATAAAGTCCTGCGTTGCTCGCCCATCCACAGATCTGCTCCAGGTAGTGGAGTCCCCCTTGCGGAAAATGTTCGCTGTTGGAATACACCAGATCTTCACGGATCCAGTATCCAACAGGAATCCGAATAGCATTCAGGCCGTACGACCGCATCTTAGAGATATCCTCTTGGGTGGTCCAGGTGTTCCAATGCATTGCCCAAGCCTTGTTGGCTTGAGTCTGACCAAGCTTACTGACGCAATCGAACTCGGATGCTGTACCGCCGCAACCCATGCTGTTCCACTCATCACTGGCCATCCAGGGCTCGACGATGAATTGAGAGCCGAGATTGACTCCACGGAGTGGCAAGGTGGCAGAAAGCCATCGCATGGTCTCATTCTGGTCCCCTCGTGGCATGATGGGAGCTTGGTGCTGGTTAATGCCACGGCTCAGAAGAGGATGTTGCCTCGAGGGCATCCATGCCGCCGAGAGGCTTGCAGAGACCGTGATTGCAAGGGTGAGAGACCGCATCGTTAGTGACACACACCGAAATGTAGGTTGAATGTTTGGGGGACCGCTGATGATCAAATACAGAAGCAATGAAAGCTAGCTTGATAGTCAAATCGAGGTGAGAACGAGAGTGAAAAGAAACCAGATCAGATACTGGATTTGAGCATCTTATATACATATGCAGTGAGATTTCAGGAAGTCGGCATATTGAGCGTGAGCAGAGCCTACCTTTGGGGCTTATTCATTACATTGCGCTTCCTGCACCCTCCTCGATCCTACACATTCCTGCAGTCAGCTTTAGCCAAGGCACCAAACTCTGCTGCGTCTTGTGATCCGAGTTTGTGCGTGTCATAACTCGCAGGTGCACCACTTTTTCGTAAACGGACCACGACGATGATGGCTACGTTACCTGAGGATTCTCTGATGCCCAAGGAAGAGGAGCATCAAGATCTTAGGTGTCTAGTCTTGGTAGAGCTACTCATTCTGTAGCCACATCAAGGTGTGCAGCTCAGAAGATTGACGAGGCTGAAGTTCTTGTGGGTAGGAGGATTGTTAAATTACTCACTTATTATTCTATGAAACAGGAAGCCTGCAGCAGGATATAACCCCACCAAGCAAAGCAAGATAATTCATCCCATCGGCTGACAGCGTGTAAAATTCAGCAAATTCAGGGGTTCCGCCCGAACATCAAAAAGTCCCTTCTTACAACCTATCACGACTCAACAACGAGAACACGTATTGAAAAACCTTTCATTTCGCAATTGTTCTACTTAAGCAGATATCAAACTTTACAGTCGAGAATTCTACTGTAAAGCGTGTCATTAAAAACTTACTGCGTTGTAAAAATATGGCACTTTGGATGTTCTGCTCGCAACAGTGGGACTGTGGGTTAGTGGGTCCATTATGAGGCCATAGCGTTGGTGGCTATTGGTACCCTTGTTGGTACCCCTATTGGTACCCCGGCAAGGGGTTGAGGACAGATATCCAATACGAGCTATATAGCCACCTATTTTACATCTATTAACGGCTCTTTATTCGATTTCGTCTCCTTTAAAGCTATATTATTTTTCTTTTCTTTTATAATTAAGTTTATATAAATTAGTCTTTATTTAACTATTATAAGTACTATCTAACTATTATAAATATATTCTATACTCTTATATACTTTATAATAGCTCTCGCCGCTATTACCAGATCTAAAAAAAGCGATTAAATGTATTATCTTCGTCTTTAAAGTTATTAAAAAAGACTTTTAACGTAGTTAATAAGACTAATAAAGCTCTTAAAACTAAAAAAAGCTCTTAAGGCTACTAAGGCTCTCACACCTTTCCTTCGCAAGAATATTCTTATATATAATACGTTATTAAGTACTATAAACCCGGATTAGATAAATAAAACGCCTTTATTTATTACTAAAATAAATCTTTAAGAATTAATAGCTTAGCTATCTAAGATTTAAAAAGAAGTAAAATAATCGCTATTTTTATAAGGATAGAGTTTATAAATTATATCGTTATTATCGCTACTATAATCGTAATTATTATTATTATTACTCGAATATATTAGATTCGAACTTATTTAACTTTAAATCGAATTAAAAGAAAAGAAGAGAGATTCTTTTTCGTTATATAAAAGATAAGAAGCCCTTTCTTAGTATTACTAAAAGATTTTAAAGTATAAATATTAAGTACTTTAAATAAATCTTCTTCGAGATCTTTAAGACTAAAAATTTCGCTAAACTAGCTTATATATATATTATCTCGATTAAGAAGAATAAGAATATTAATAATTATCAGTATATATAACAGAATAAGGTAGGGCTGAACTAGAAAACCTTGAATTTGTATGTGCAGCCAATCATCAATTCAGGGTCACTACGCTCTTTGGTTAGACCGGCTGAGTCAGCCCGGTAGCCCTCCCGAGCTCCCTCATCAAAAATTTGTATGTAGAAGTTTTACACTTTGAAGTACTCAGCTTGCGATACATACAGTTACTTCATAATTCCTCAAATTGTAGAGCTCGCTTTGCGCTTTCTAACGCTGTAAAAATTATGAAGTTTGGCCTACTATTGGTGGATTAAATGGACATTCAAATATGGTAGTCATGGTAGTCACACCAGACGCGTCCCGGATCGGATAATAATCCTTCCACCTGTTTGTTATTCTTCCACCATTCTACCAATTCTACCAATTCTACCAATTCTACCAATTCCACCAATATGAACACATTTACCCTCGGTACCCTCGCACTCAATTAAACAAGAGGAGGATCTACAACAGGCGAATGCGGAGAACACTGCGGAGAACATTGCGGAGACAGTCATCAGCAGCAGTGACACAACAGGCCTACTCTCCACGGTCTCACACCAATCCACTCAGCCAGTGCAAGAGAAGTCACTACAGCAGGCGAATACGGAGAACACTGCGGAGAAATCAAGCGACAACAAGGCCCCCAGCACCAAGAACAGGCTCAGCTCTCCAAGATCCCACGTCATATGCTCTCCACGATTCCACATCAAATCATCACTCAGCAAGCGGAGAACACCACTGTAACTTGGCCTGTCATCCCCACTGCATTGAGGAGTAAGAGGAGGAACTACAACAGGCAAATGCGGAGAACACTGTGGAGAAACCAAGCGGTAATAAGGCCACCATCGTCAAGAACACGGCTCAGCTCTCTAAGATCCCACGTCATATGCTCTCCACGGTTCCACATCAAATCATCACTCAGCAAGCGGAGAACACCACTGCAACTTGGCCGTTCCACATCAAATCATCACTCAGCAAGCGAAGAACACCACTGCAACTTGGCCTGTCATCCCCATTACATTGAGGAGCAAGAGGAGGAACTACAACAGGCAAATGCGGAGAACACTGCGGAGAAACCAAGCGGCAACAAGGCCACCATCGTCAAGAACGCGGCTCAGCTCTCCAAGATCCCACGTTATATCAGTTATCCACTCAGTCAGCCACTCAGCTAGCCACTCAGTCTAATACTCTACAAGAGGAGGAGTAAGAGGAGGAACTACAACAGGCAAATGCGGAGAACACTGCGGAGAAACCAAGCGGCAACAAGGCCACCATCGTCAAGAACACGGCTCAGCTCTCCAAGATCCCACGTTATATCAGTCATCCACTCAGTCAGCCACTCAGCTAGCCACTCAGTCTGATACTCTACAAGAGGAGGAGCAAGAGGAGGAACTACAACAGGCAAATGCGAAGAACACTACGGAGAAACCAAGCGGCAACAAGGCCACCATCGTCAAAAACACGGCTCAGCTCTCCAAGATCCCACGTCATATGCTGTCCACGATTCCACATCAAATCATCACTCAGCAAGCGGAGAACACCACTGCAACTTAGCCTATCATCCCCACTGCATTAAGGAGTAAGAGGAGGAACTACAACAGGCAAATGCGGAGAACACTGCGGAGAACACTATGGAGAACACTGCGGAGAAACCAAGCGGCAACAAGGCCACCATCGTCAAGAACACGGCTCAGCTCTCCAAGATCCCACGTCATATGCTCTCCACGGTTCCACATCAAATCATCATTCAGCAAGCGGAGAACACCACTACAACTTGGCCTGTCATCCCCACTGCATTAATATGATACATCACTGCAATAACGTCACAAGAGGAGGATCTACTATCACAGTCAATTGGGCCTCTACAGGAGGAACATCGGACGATACATATTTGGACGAATTAAAACCGTCCGATGTCTTGCTCTGACAGCTATTTCATTATTCGAATGATTTCACTGCGGCAGGAGATAATGTGGGATTCACACCACTAATTGGCATGTTGTCTCCATTTCTTTCCGGTATTTCGATACTTCTTGCCATAAGAACATGGCCTTTGTCTGTTTTTTTGTGGGCAATTATTACGGATCAATCCTTCACACTTGATACACCTTTCTAATTAGGCCTTAGCGCGCCTCTCTCCGCATATATATGCCTATATACCGCATAGATTAAATTAATTTTGTAGTGGTGGAAGTAGGTCAAAAACGCACAGCAAGCGATCAGAGTTCGATTTGACTTAGGGCTAGGGCTAAAATTCCATTTAACTTAGAAAAATCCAACTCCATTTAACTTAGAAAAATGAAAAAATCCAACTCCATGAATTTAATTCATGGGCCTTTACTTGTAATTATATAATATATTACTTTTATATATACTCGATAGTTATTAATTACTTTATATATATTAGTATAAAAGAAAGACTTAAATAAGATTCTATATACGTATGCTATTCGCTTACTACGACTATCTATTATCTATAAATTTAACTTTATCCTCGCTTATTATCTCGTTTTTATTATAGTATATATTTAAAGTAATTAAGATAATCTTAAGATTTAAGAAGCGAATAATTAGAGTTATAAAGACTTTCTTATATCTAAAGGGACTTATATAAGTAATAGTAAGCTAAATATCGATATATCTAGCCCTAATAAGCCCGTTATAGTCGAAGAATTAGAATTTATAAGAATTTTAATAGAGGTAGCTATTTTCGCGAGCGCTATATCTACTTATATATCTATATAATCTATTAATAAAATTATTCGATAAATAAATATCTTAAAATTCTAAATCTAGCTATAAGTAGCTCTAATTATTTATTATTAGATAATTATATTATTAAGATAAAATAACTCTTAGAGTATTCGTAGATATCTTAATCGCTATAGTATATATCTAAGAGGTTTCTATACGCGCTATACGATCTATTAAACCCGAATTTACTTTATTAAAAATTATTAATAATTAATAATTAATTTAAATAATTAAACGATTACTTAAATCTAATATTTATTAAGATTATTTCGACTATTCTTCGAAAGAGCGCTAAGATAGATTTTTGAGATTATATCTTAACTTATCGTAGTTAAAATTATCTATTAATATGTTAAATATTCTAAATACTATTAGTAAACCTTTAAAAAATAGCTTTAATAGTATCGCTTAATCGAGATTAATTCTTAAAACGAGCTTTACTATATCTATTCGCTACTCGATTTAATATCAAAATATAATAAAGATTAAAGACGAATTTATAACCTCTTATTTTTATACGGCTACTTAGTTAATAATAATATTTAGATAAAATAAGATATATTAAAATATACTATATACGATAACGCAGTAATAGTATTATTATAGAAAGATTTAAAGGCTTAATTTATTAAAAGAGACCTTAAAGACGTCTTTAGATATATATTTATCGCTATATCGAATTAATAATTATTTAGTTTTAATTGCGATAAACGCTATTAGAAGAAACGATATCTATTATTTAAACTATATATATTATCGTTTCTATTCAATTTCTTTATAAAGGCCCTTATTTAAATCTTAATCGCGATTTTTCTATAAGAAGTAATACTTTATTATCTAAATGATTTCTTTATAATTCTTTTATTAGATAATAATATAATTATATATATCTAGTAGTTTAATTAGCTATATAATAAATTAGATCTTCGAATTAATTATATAAAGAATATTATAGATTTTATAGTCGAGTTTTTAGAAATCGAATTCGATAGTATTTATATAGAAGCGAGATTTCCCTCGAATAAGCTAATTAAGGCGAGAATTATAACTAAAAATCTTTTAAAAAAAATAATTATCTTATATTAAAAGCTCGAGTTAGCGATTAGCTTTCTCTCTTTTACTATTAAAGTTATAATTTTAGAAAAAGTA